TGCCCGAGCTGCAACGAGCCCATCGGCGACATCCGGTGCCGGCCGCTGGAGAAGGTGCTCGCAGCCATGTCCGCTCCCTGCAAGTTCAGGGCGAGCGGATGCATGGAGACTGTTGGCTTCACCGAGAGGCTCAGCCATGAGGCGTCGTGCACGCACGCGCCGTGCGGTTGCCCGTTCGACGGCTGCACCTACCTCGGCCTGCTGCTCTACAACCACATCCTGGACGAACACGCCACGGACGCCGTCGTCGCCATGGGCTCCCTCCGGGGCACCACTGTGACGGTGCACAAGAGCAAGCCGTTCAACGTGCTCCTCCACCGCGGCGGCACCCGCGGCGGCAACCGCGTCTTCCTCCTGCTCAACGGCGGCGACGTCCTGTCCGGCCGCTCGCTGTCGCTCGTCAGCGTCGGCCCTCCGCCGACGGCGAACTGCGAGCTGCTGTACAAGATTGAACTCGCCGCCGACGGGCCAGGACCGTGCACGGGCGTGCTTAAGCTGTCGGCGTCTGGCACTGTCCCGTGCGTCCGCCGGCTGGAGGGGTTCAATGCGAAGGCGTTCCTCTTCGTGCCGGATTCTTACTGGGGCTCGTCGGACACCGTCTCCGTCACCGTGCTCATCTAATGCTTCACCATCCGCCGCATGCGTTTGCTCGCTAGCTTTTGGTTGGTCACACCTATCTCAGTGTTAAACTTCAGGGTTAATACTTGTAGTAATTCTAGTGAACTTCTAGTACGTGACTGCAACCGATCCGAATTCGCCATTGTACCATGATCCATGGCTACTTTTGCTTTGCCTCCGCAAGATGTTGTGTGTGATGTCACACAGACACAAAGCACATGGAGGCTCGCCAAATGTAAATGGTATGCAACCTTTTCTAACCCATCTGTGAAGTGTGAACTACTGTGACACTATACTTGCGTCAAAAAAAAAAAAAAACTGTGACACTATACCTTTGCATACCTACATCTGTGACCTTTTGCATAACACCATGGATAATCTAGTTCGAAATGTAGCCTTGCTAATTGTTTTTGCAATTACAAGAGGATCTTAATTTCTTGACTTTGATGTTCTACTCCCAAAATTTTTCTGATGAGTTTCATGAGTGGAACCTTAGAAGCAAAGTAGTAAATGCATAAACCCCTAAAATCCCACTTAATACAACCTCCGTCCCAAAATGTTCGGTCAAGACATATATACATACGGAATTGCCACATGATAGCTTTTTCCAATCAAAACTTACAAATTTCTAAACATTGATTTGCCTCAAGTGAAAGGTTCCACACCTAAAACCCCATAAAAAATTTTGAGACTAGAACATCAAAGTTAAGTAAAATCCTCTGGGAGTTGAAAACCAATTAGCAAGCTAGGCCACATTTTAAACTAGATTATCAAGGGTAATTATGCAAAGGTCGGAGTTGTGGCCTTGTGGGCCTGCAAAGCATAGTTCACGCTTCACAGTTGGGTTATGCAAAGTTGCAGACCATGTCCATTTGGCAATTAATCCTCCATGCTTGAGGCAACCAAAAGTAGCCATGGATCAGGATACCATCAGGGGCGGATCCAGAAAAAAATAGTAGTGGGGGCTGAACAAATTACGCCAGCATAAATCGAAACATGTCTCACATGTAAATTGGCTAAATGTCAGTTCAAGGCAGGGGCGGATCCAGAAAAAAATAGTAGTGGGGGCTGAACAAATTACGCCAGCATAAATCGAAACATGTCTCACATGTAAATTGGCTAAATGTCAGTTCAAGGTACACATTGAATTAATGATATGTCGAGAATTTTGTCCATACCAAACCAATATCGAATAGATGACGTGTCACACCCAATCGTCTATTATTCTTCATGAGTAGTAATTTATACAAAGAAAAAGGCAAATTAACGAATAATCGAAACATACTTATTTTGGATTCAAATAATTTAGAGATTTAGGGAGGAATGGAGGCATAGAGCATACCACTAATTTCTGTTGAGGTACTAACATCTGACGCGCTTTCATATCTTCAAATTGTTGGATGATTTTTTCATCCGATTGAAAAAACCCTGACTTGGGTTTCTTTGGCTAACTTAAACACTCATTACTGGATGGAGGATCACTTTACTGGATGGAGGATCACTGCCATTTGTGTTGCTTAAACTAAAATAATACGTGAGCAATGTTCTTTTTGACATGTTGACAATCTAAAAATGTATAGAAAATAATTATAAGTTTCAAGCACAAGTGCACAACCTCATTAAGACACAATTTTAGACTATCTATTAGTATTAGAGGTTACTAGTTTACCGATTTCTAACTTCAAATCTTCAATCACAGTCACAGTAGGCTGCGACTGCGTCGTTGACTCGTTGCTGCCTTGCCGGCCACTGTGCCGCTGACCTGCTGCCTGCCTGCCTCGGCGCCTTGCGCCCTCGCGGCACCTCGCCAGCGAGCGGCTCGCCACCTTCCCGGCGGCGTGGCGGCGCAGGCGCTGGAGTGCTGGACCACCGCCTCCGCCTGGCCTGCCTTCTGTCTGGCCCATCGCCGGCTCACTGGACGCCGCCACGGCACCTTGCCGCTCGGCGCTCGCCAGCTTGCAGCTCACCGGAGGTCGCCACCTGCTCCGGGCATGCACTGGACCACCGGGGCACCGCCTGGCACGCCTCCCGTCTGGCCCCTCGCCGGACGCCACCGCCTGCTCGGCCGCCGCCCGCCGCCCGCGCCTATTCGCCTAGGGTTAGGGATTTAGGAGAGGAGGAGGTGGCCAGTGGGATTGGGGAATTGGGGAGGCGGGAGGCCGGGAGGGGGAGTAGCCAAATGGGCCAGCTGGAATCTGCCACCGTGGGCCTTTGCTTGGAGTGGGCTAGACAAAACTTGAAGACTGCGCTCGTGGTCGTGGGCTGCTCTTCGAAACAAGCCCAAATCGCGAAATAACATCGTCTTCAACCTCCAGCCTTCCCTCCAGCCAACCTGACGAAGCTCCAGCCACCACATCTCGTGAAAAATTTTAGTGGGGGCTTAGGGGGGTCTCCATGGACCCTGGGGCGGTAGTGGGGTCTCAAGACCCCCCCGCCCCCATGGCAAATCCGCCCCTGGTTCAAGGTACACATTGAATTAATGATATGTCGAGAATTTTGTCCATACCAAACCAATATCGAATAGATGACGTGTCACACCCAATCGTCTATTATTCTTCATGAGTAGTAATTTATACAAAGAAAAAGGCAAATTAACGAATAATCGAAACATACTTATTTTGGATTCAAATAATTTAGAGATTTAGGGAGGAATGGAGGCATAGAGCATACCACTAATTTCTGTTGAGGTACTAACATCTGACGCGCTTTCATATCTTCAAATTGTTGGATGATTTTTTCATCCGATTGAAAAAACCCTGACTTGGGTTTCTTTGGCTAACTTAAACACTCATTACTGGATGGAGGATCACTTTACTGGATGGAGGATCACTGCCATTTGTGTTGCTTAAACTAAAATAATACGTGAGCAATGTTCTTTTTGACATGTTGACAATCTAAAAATGTATAGAAAATAATTATAAGTTTCAAGCACAAGTGCACAACCTCATTAAGACACAATTTTAGACTATCTATTAGTATTAGAGGTTACTAGTTTACCGATTTCTAACTTCAAATCTTCAATCACAGTCACAGTAGGCTGCGACTGCGTCGTTGACTCGTTGCTGCCTTGCCGGCCACTGTGCCGCTGACCTGCTGCCTGCCTGCCTCGGCGCCTTGCGCCCTCGCGGCACCTCGCCAGCGAGCGGCTCGCCACCTTCCCGGCGGCGTGGCGGCGCAGGCGCTGGAGTGCTGGACCACCGCCTCCGCCTGGCCTGCCTTCTGTCTGGCCCATCGCCGGCTCACTGGACGCCGCCACGGCACCTTGCCGCTCGGCGCTCGCCAGCTTGCAGCTCACCGGAGGTCGCCACCTGCTCCGGGCATGCACTGGACCACCGGGGCACCGCCTGGCACGCCTCCCGTCTGGCCCCTCGCCGGACGCCACCGCCTGCTCGGCTGCCGCCCGCCGCCCGCGCCTATTCGCCTAGGGTTAGGGATTTAGGAGAGGAGGAGGTGGCCAGTGGGATTGGGGAATTGGGGAGGCGGGAGGCCGGGAGGGGGAGTAGCCAAATGGGCCAGCTGGAATCTGCCACCGTGGGCCTTTGCTTGGAGTGGGCTAGACAAAACTTGAAGACTGCGCTCGTGGTCGTGGGCTGCTCTTCGAAACAAGCCCAAATCGCGAAATAACATCGTCTTCAACCTCCAGCCTTCCCTCCAGCCAACCTGACGAAGCTCCAGCCACCACATCTCGTGAAAAATTTTAGTGGGGGCTTAGGGGGGTCTCCATGGACCCTGGGGCGGTAGTGGGGTCTCAAGACCCCCCCGCCCCCATGGCAAATCCGCCCCTGGATACCATATTACCATAGCAATACACATGAGAACTACTTAGGCCGAGTTAGGCCGAGTTAGGCTGTGTTTAGTTGATGGTAATGTTTGGATTTTGGTTGAAATTGGAGATGATGTGATTGAAAAGTTGTGTGTATATGATAGGTTGATGTGATGGAAAAGGACTGAAGTTTGGATCTAAACACAGCCTTAGTTCCAAAATTTTACTTTAAGCTTCCAACTTTTCCATCACATCAAAACTTTCCCACACACACAAACTACCAACTTTTCCGTCACATTGTTCCAATTTCAACCAAACTTTCAATTTTAGCGTGAACTTAACACACCCTTAGTAATGGGCTAATATGATTCCATTTCAGAATAAGGACTTGACATGGGCTGTGTTCACCGTGGAGTCTAAACTCTAAAGTAGTCGTAGTGTTTGTCGGCTTCTATTTCGGTTTTCTGTCATGGCATGACGCGGTCAAATAGGATCTAGGCAATTTTTCGCGTTTTTTTCAGTTGTAACAAATAGCTGGGTACCAAAAGAAACGAGAAAAAGCTTCGCAACACCAAAACCTCTCTCTCTCTCTCTTTTTTGAGAACTACCAAAACCTATCTCGCTGCTCTGTTTCCTCTGTTCATCATTTCATAGTTCAGTTTCGTCAGTTCACTATAGCAGTCCGAAAAATCCAGAGAGTTCAGTTTTTTTTATCGATTGATCTTAGCCAATTACAACACATATAGTAGACCTGAAAGCTAACAACAAACACTGAGATCGATAGACTCAGGACTGGAGTGACCCAAAAGCAAGCAATCACTCTCAGAGGTGCACGGTGACAGAGATGGTGCCGGACGAGCCCCAGTAAGAATCGGGCACGAACAGGAACGCCTTCGCGTCGAACCCCTCCAGCCGGCGGACGCACGGGACGGTACCCGACATGGACAGACCGAGCTCGCCGGGGGCCCGCGACACGGCGCCAAGCTCAATCTTGTACAGCAGCTCGCAGTTGGGCAACGGGGGAGGAGGGCTGATGCAGACCAGCGACAGCGAGCGGCCCGACAGGACGTTGTCGCCGTTGAGCAGGAGGAAGACGCGGCTGCCGCCGCGGTGGAGGAGCACGTGGAACGGCTTGCTCTTGTGCAGCGTCACGGTGGTGCCGGTGCCCCGGAGACAGCCTGTGGCGACGACGGCGGCGTCCGTGGCGTGTTCGTCCTGGATGTGGCTGTACAGCAAGTGTCCCTGGTAGTTGCAGCCGTCGAACGGGCAGACACACGGGGCGTGTGGGCACGACGCCTCGTGATTCCGCCTCTCGGTGTAGGCGACGATCTCCGTGCAGCCGCTCGCCCTGATCAACCTCATGTAGGCGCTCGTGCTGAACCTGCAGGGAGCAGACATGGCCGCAAGCACCTTCTCCAGCGGCCTGCACCGGATGTTACCGATGGGCTCGATGCAGCACGGGCACATGGTGTTCATCTTGGCGTAGCAGGAGCCGCACGCAGCGTGGCCGTTCTTGCACTGCATGCACACCAACAAATTAAACAAATGTTGCTCAGGAATGTTCTAAATACGTGCAAGAATCTAAAACTAATTACTACTAGTACGGAGTACAAGATTAGTACAGTACCATGTAAACTCGATCTTCAAAAGGAACGAAGCAAATGGGACACTCCAGTGCGTCACGCTCGATGGAGTAGGTCAGCTTGGTCGTCTCATCTTTCCCGTCCTGCTGAGCCTTGTTCTCCGACCACCTCGTCCTCTTGGGCGTACCAGTATTATCCATCGTACCCTTCTTCTTCAAACGCATCATTGTTGCTAAGTGAGGGAACTGCATCTGCATATATATAATGCTGCGCAGAAGAAAAGCTTGAGCTTATTTGCTTCTCTGTAATAAGTTAAAATGGAACTCACCCAGTAGCTTGAGCCTTGAGGCACCGAAGATCTATTGTCTTACTAGATTAAATCGACCAAAGGGATCAATTGTGAACGGCGAGAGGGTTGAGCGCATAGGTGAGGCAGTCATCGGTAGCAAATCCATATTGGAAGAAATGGTCCTAATCAACTCCTCCCTCGGTCCTATAATATAAAGGATTTGGGTGGACGTGACACGTCGTATCTCATTGTACTATAATATGTCATATTCACCTAAAATCTCTTATATTATGGGATGGATGGAGTAATAGTCATGAGTACGGAGCGAGCAGTTTGGCCTGATAGTGTTGTTGGACTTGCCACAAAATGGGTTCTAGGGTCGTATCTTAAAACTAGAGTGGCAACTGTGATGGTTTATGCAAATTTTGCCATTAATCTACATTGTTTTAGGTACATCACGATCTAACAGGTTATACTTTAAGTTTTTTCTCCATAGGAGTGTCTAGAAAATTAGAAAAATACATGAAAAAAAAACTTATAACTAGTAAAAGTTACAAAATTACATGCAAAAAAAATTTCAAACTGAGATAGAAATAAAATAAAACCAAATAAAACAACACAATTGTAGTTAAAATAAACTAAAATTGCAATGTTGATCTTGCATCGCATGATGAATTGGCCGCACAGGTATATTTTTGCAAATATTCTTAAATATTAATCCCGGACAATCAGAAAAAAAGTATATTTGAAAATTTAATTCAATAAACAGAAAATATATAGTAAAGCTACAATTTTGGCAAGGTAAAGAAGAGTGAGGTTATTTAAGGTCTTATCAAATTATGGTGGAGTTTTAATAACAACACAATTTTCGAAAGTTCCCGTTTTTTCTTAAAACAAGATAAAATTTCTTAAATTAAAACAAACCTTCCGAAATACTCTTGGTGAAGTATTTGGCACAATCTCCTATCTCCAAGACTCCTTAACTCTTAAGCATGCAGCAGATCGTTATAAAATCTGTTTCATCGGCGAGATATTCGGGAGCAGAGGATTCTAGCGCCCAAGATGAGCAGCGGCCGCGTGGGCGACAGGATCGCCATCCCGGCGGCCGGCACGGCCCGGCGCCGGCGGCGAGACCCGACGACCGGGCCGGAATCGCCGGTCTACCTTGAGGGCAGCCGTTGGTCGCTGTCGCCGGCCTACCAACCGAGCCGCCGTCGTCGTCACGACGAGGAAGGGTACTCTCGCCGCCGCGGCCGCAGCCGGAGCAACAGCCCCCGCCGACGTCGTCGTCGTCGGCCAAGAAGCTGCCGGAGCCGCAGCCGCACACGCAGCTACGAGTGCGAGGACAGCCGGTGCTGCCACACGAGGCCGTCGCCGCGCTCCGACGACAGGGAAGACGACGACGACGAGCAGGATGGGTCGTGGTACCATCCCCCTGCGGATAACGAGTTCACCGTCCGCATCGACGGCATCGGCGCCGACGACGGCATCTTCCGGTGCGACGGATGCTTCGCCATGCTCTCCTCTCCCATCTACGAGGTAGTATAGATCAGTTCATGTTGCATCGATCGATTCGTTGCCGATGTTGACCGGACAAGGATTTTGACTTAAATAGTTATAGAAAAAATTCAAAATATTTAGTAACATCGATTGTGATAAGTATGTATATAAACATGCAGGACTAAATTTGATTTACAACTAGAGAAACAAAAATAATAAAATCAGACAATGAATAGAGATAAAATTTATTATTTTTGTTTCTCGATCAAATTTAGACTTACATGTTTATAGTGTCTTATATTATGATAGTCTATCTTATCAAATTTTATAAAATTTTTATATAATGGTTTAAATTACATGCATGCACTTAGGTGTAGAAAATACATTCTAGATGTTGACGTAATTGATTGGTTCATGTACAGTGTGCGAACGGGGATGTCATCTGCGAGAGATGCAGCTACGACGACGGCGGCGCCAGGGTGTGCAGGAAATGCGGGACGATGGAGCTCGCCCGCAGCCGCGCCATCGGCCACCTGCTCCGGTGCATCCGGTTCGCGTGCAAGAACCGCAGGTACGGGTGCCCGTCGTTCCTCCCGCGGCAGGACATGGACGAGCACGAGCTCTCGTGCGACCACGAGCCCTGCTTCTGCCCGATCCGCCGCTGCGGCTTCGCCGGCGCCGCCGACTCCCTGGCGCGCCACCTGACCGCGCGGCACGGCTGGGGCCGCCTCCGCGTCGCGTACGGGGAGGCGGCGGTGGTGCCCGTCCAGTCGCCGACCATCCTCCGCGCCGACGACGGGAGGATCTTCCACCTCAGCTGCACGCGGGAGCGCGGCGGCGGCGGCGGCACCGCCATGTCCATGGTGTGCATCCGCCCCGACCACGTCGCCGGCGCCGAGGAGGAGTTCACCTACGAGGTGAGGACGGCGTGCCAGCGGCTGCAGATGCAGGCGGCGGTGGAGGGCACGTCGCTCCGGTACGGGATGAAGGACGCGGTCCAGGCCAGGGTGACCGTGCCCGATGACATGCTGCTCCGGCAGGGCGACGCCGTCCAGGTGTTCGTCCGAAAGGCGACGTCCGCCGCCGGCGCCGCCAATAACAACTGAAATCTCTATCAATTACTAGCTTCTGTTGCATGTTTCTTTTACTCGATCAGATCAGTAGCATTTTCATGTGTTAGCGATGTGCGGTGCACACAAAATAGATATTGAAGCTCTATGTGGCGAGATATATTTTTAGACTATATTTGTTTAACACAGCTTCAGATCCTATACCCCAATTCCAACAAAAACCGGTCGAATTCCGTGAAATTTTAAAGTTTCGACGAGGCTTGAAAGTAGAAACCATCTAAGATTTCGATGGGTAAATCTAAGTTCAAATTTAAATTGATAAAAAAGGGAAAAAATCAAATAAAATCTTATAAATAGTATGATATTCATATAACCTATTAGGATATAAATTTATGAAAAAAAATTAATGTATTCCATGTATTTACTGAAATTGACAGTAGGAAAGAAAAGAATAACGAATGAAAAAAAAAGGAAAACACTTTCAATTTGCCTATTTTTCTAGTTAACGATTGAAATTTCGATGATTTCGCTCGGAATTTCGTCAAAATCGACCGGTTTTTGTGAGCTTATCGGTAAATTCAGAGAATTTGTATTCAAATTTTGGTTTTATGAAATTTGTTCAAAATCTACCTGCTTTCCACCGGATTTCACGAAACGCGTCATACCACCAGAGCCCGAAACGGAAGGCCATCTCAAAATCGTAAACCTGCTATCGTTGGGTTTGAACTTTGAAGATTGTATGCTAATTTATAGAATGGAAATAAAATAATTCATCGAAATATTATCAACATAATACCCAACTTTAAGAAAAATCTTAAATATGGAGCAGTGACCTGTGCAGCTGTGCCAAACGTAACTCTCTTTCATATGGGTAGATCTCATCTCTTATTTATCTTTTATTCATTTATTTATGCATCATCACAAAGACAAGATGCATGTTGGCATACCAACACAGAGACATGTTCAAGCTATGCATACATACCAACACGTATATGAACACAAAGAGACATGTTCAAGCTATGCATATACCAACACGTACATGAACACAGAGACATGTTCAAGCTAGCAGAGAATACGTACGATGAGCCTCTCTGCTTGTTATACAGAGAAGTAGTTCTCTTCTTAGTTGTGCATTTCAGGTGTGCACCTGGGGCCTGGGTCCCCGGTGAAGGAGTCACGGCAGACGAAGAGAGGGCGCCACGACCACGAGTCCACCATCTCGCACTGCCCGCACGCGGCGGCGCACGACTCCACCTCGTCGGAGCAGTGGCAGATGGGAGGGAGCGACTTGGTGCAGACGGCGATGTCGCAGCACGGGCCCCACGGCCACTCCGACGACGGCGCGCACGAGGTGCCCGGGTCGTCGCCCCAGAAGACGTCGTCGCAGATGAGCGGCCGGCCGGGGAACGGCCGCCCCGGCGGATCCCGGCACGCCTCGCACTGGCGGAAGCACTGCCCGGGCTCCAGCTCGTCGTCGCACTGCCAGAACGGCGGGTTGATCCTCTCCGGCAGCCTCACGATGTTGTCGCAGCACTTCCACGGCCTCGTCCTCCTTCGCGCCGCCACTGCTCCGTCGATCGGGAGGCGTATGGTGTTGGTGGTGGTGGTCGTGGTGTCGTCCGCTGTGCTGCCGTGGGCGGCGGCGAGGCCGGCGAGGAAGAAGAACAGGATGGAAGTAGCAGCCATGGTGCGCTTCATCTTCATGGACGTCTTGCTTGCTTTGAGATGAACTGTGTTGCAGCTGTGGTGTGTTATTTATCGGGACACTGAGACCAATAGCAGAGCTGAACCGTGGATAGATAAGAACACATGACCGCCTTCCGTTGCCACACACACGCATATATCGTACCCCTCAATTTCAAAATGTTTGACACCGTTGACATTTTAGCACATGTTTAACCGTTCGTCTTATTCAATTTTTTTTGTGAAATATGTAAAACTATATGTGTATATGAAAATATATTTAACAATGAATCAAATGATATGAAAAGAATAAATAATTAATTAAATTTTTTAAATAAGACGAATGGTCAAACACGTACTTAAAAAGTCAACGGTGTCAAACATTTTGAACAGAGGGAGTAGTTTTTTTTAAAAGGCAGATCGATATGATATTTATTACTCTATGATAGATGTTTGAATTTGATCTATACATTTTTTTAAAAAAAAAATATGACTCTCATACTGTGCACTGTTCACCGTCATATTTTCTCTGTTTTTTAGTTGAAGATAGAGACACGATACATGTTTTTCATGCAACCGTTCCTTTCCATTTGGACCACGTGATCATTAACGTACTCCACTTAAATTCAGATAGTGATAATAATATAACACATCCAAGGGAATCCGCGAATGAATGTGAGATTTCTTAACATCTACCTCAGGTAATATATGAGGTCATTTTTTTAGTACTCTAAAAACTATTTTTTAAAAAAATACTATATTAAAATTTCTTCTAAAGGATAGTAAGATTTCTTCAATTTGTGTTACACATGTGTTGGCATGGACCCGTAATAATGGCAATAATAATTGGACAAAAGAATAGATTAATTGAAACATTAAATTTGAATTTAAACTAAACTAATGGCTTTTATCCAATACTTAGGTATCAGCAGATATAAGGTATATCAGGCGATACCTCATGGGTATTATCATATCCGAACGGTGTATTAGCCGATACTTACCAGATATCATGTGATACATCAGAGATATCATCCCGTCTGAACAAGATATCGTTACGTAGCATTTCCCTATATTTATAGAGCAAGTAACAGAGTTCAATTGTGGATACAGATAACGGCGCAGTCCTTAGCCACACGATTTAGGATTTATTGTTCAATGCCAGTACCAAAGTGATATAAAGTTAAAAGGCAGAGTTTTTGTATTTTTGCTCATTTGGTTTTACACGTGTAGAAGACAGAGAGACATCTATGCATGCATTCCATATATATATACAATATGAACATGGGCGTCCTCCACTTAAATTCAGTGAGTTATATAATACGTTGCAAAATTAATCTTAACATCTTTTTCATGGGATTTGTTAGATTTCAAGCGTATGAGAATTTGTATTTTTTTAGTCACCTCAAAATTAAACATTTATAGTTATGTCTAAAATTACACTACTATGTAATGTGCAATTTTAGTTTATTTTGTTATTGTATGGTTTCATTATTTTACTATTTCAGTTTGAATACTTGTATATGTAATTTTTTTTAAAAAATATCAATTTTATCATAACCTTTTGTGTCGTAATTCAAGAAGGGCTTTGTTCAAATAGGAAGTGATGAAGGGAGTGATAGCCACCAGATTTTCATTTAAGAGATAAGAAAACAATTCATTTTTTTAAAAAAAGAATTAATCGCCTAAAATCTAGACATGTATTCGTAGTTTGGTACACCCTTACGTATCGTAAAATTTCTGCAATTTATAGTGCACATGTATTTGGACGAAAACGGCATGTAATGAAGGCTATGATTATTTGAAAAAAGAGTAAATTTCATAAAACTGCAACTTTAGTAATAAAATTATCAGTTTGCTGCAACATTAGTGAGATGTTTCAGTTTGCTGCAACATTAGCGAGATGTTTCAGTTTCCTGCAATAATAACGTGGAAAATTATCACAAAACTGCAACTTTTAGCATATAACGTAAAAGTTACAGTTTTGTGATAATTTTCCACGCTATTGTTGCAGCAAACTGAAACATGTAGCTAATGTTGTAGTAAACCAATAGTTTTATCACTAAAGTTGCACTTTTCTGAAATTTACTCTTGAAAAAAATTATTTCGAATGTTAAATTAGAATATAAACAATTTTGGATGGTTTGTTCATGCGTTGGAGGCAGATGGTGAAGACTGAAGACCTTCAACCGGCTGCCTGAAATTAATAGGAAAATATATGAGATCTACTCAAATGTGTAATCACGAGCGTCGATATTCAAACTAGCTATTTGCTATAATTATAATACCCCTCCCTGTGGATATCGATAGACGAATAGATCTCTCATTCGTCTTTTATTTATCATGATAACTTCGTAACACATGACATAACACGCATACCAACATCAAACCACACGATAGACACAACACACAGACAAATTGTACACACGTACGTATGTACGAATACGAACAAGCTAGAACACACGCAGACTGATCGTTCGATCGATCGCGAACGACGCGAACATATATTTATTGGTGAAAGGATCAATATAATCAGCTAGCTTGATATAGCTAGCTATAGTTAATCAGTTCATGCGCACATGGGCCCGGGCTCGCCGGTGAAGTGGTCGCGGCAGATATAGCGAGGCGGCTCCGACGACGAATTCACCATGTCGCACTCCTTGCAGGCGGCGGCGCACGACGCCACCTCGTCGGCGCAGTGGCAGATCGGTGGGAGAGACCTGGTGCAGAAGGCCTTGTCGCAGCAATCGCCCCACGGCCGCGGCGTGCAGACGGGGCCAGGGTTGGTGGTCGGGTACCAGTCGTCGCAGACGAAGACGACATCTTCGCCGCCGGCCCCGGGCACCAGCTGCAGGCAGTTCTCGCAGGCGGCGGCGCACTGCTTCACCTCGTCGTTGCAACGCCACCGCGGCGGGTAGATCTTGAGCACGGACATCTCGATGTTGTCGCAGCACTCCCACGGTCTGGATTTCGCCTGTTTGTTTCCATCGGTTTCGCCGGCGGCGCCGTTGCTGGGGAGGCGAATGTTGCTGTCGGTGGTGGTGGTGGTGGCGGTGACGATGCCGGCGAGGACGAGGAGGAAGAGCAGCATGGAAGCAGCCATCATGGTGCTCTTCACTTTCATGGTCATCTTAATTACTTTGCTTGGAGCCTTGGAGCTTATTAGCTAGCTAGGTTTAGGCGTGGTTTGGTCATGGTGAAATGCATGCATGGGGTGTTATTTATCGAGCAACTAAACTGAGAGCTAGCTATAAGAGCAAGTTTAATAGTATAGTCAACTATTAGCTCCAATTTATCTATAGCCAATCTGATAGCTCATTTATACAATAGTTACATACTACACTATCAATAACTAGTCCCACCTGTCATATATACACCGCGTCTTGGAGTCCGTACTATAGCTGGCTACAAATCTGTAGCCCGCTGCTCTTCTCTCTTCTCATTAATCTCCTTAAAATATGTTTGCAGCTGACTTATAGTCTGCTATTGTACCTGCTCTAAACTGTGGATAAGAACACATGGCGACCAGATTCCATTGTTGCTAGTTACTACACACGTTTTGAGGTAAACGGGGAAAATATATTTGCCTCGATCGATGCGTTTGTAACTTTGTACACATATGCAAATAGCATTTGTTGTCTAGCATAAACTGAGATATCACGAGGATATATGCGTGCATATATTTTGGTATATCCGAGAGGATTGAATATCAGGTGAAAACAGATAAATAAGTAAAAATTCATTAAAATCGGACTTTTTCTTTTTGAAAAATAAAGTATAAACGTATATGCTCATAACATGCGTGCACACTCATGCTATGAACTCATTAAAAAATATAGAGACAGTATAGTCATGAAAAAAATAGGTAGATGGTAACTGTTACTACTATTATTTTTAACTGGATTTTATTTCTTTTATTCCTATCGAATGATGAAGTTGAGTTTTAACGTAATATTTGATGATAATAGTATTCATGCATATATACATAGCTATTTCTAGTATTTTTATCCTAGAAAAGTTTGAAGTCCCATTTTCAAATGGTCCCATTTATTTATTTTATGGTTTTCATCGGATATTTTCGTTATACGAAAATTAAGATGGAGCTAAATGGTTCAACGTCGGGACCAAAGCTAGCTAGCTAGGGAGTAGGGATATAAATGTGGAAGGCAGAGTTTTTGTATGTTTGCTCGATCGTTTGTTTGTTGCATCGGAGAAAGAGACGTGATTTCCATTTCGACCACGTTGATTATCACTTCAGATAGCGACCACGAATGAATGGGTGCGTGCGTGATCCACGAATCACTCGAGGACCATGAACTGGGCCCACTCACCTTGTCTCGGCCCATCCAGAGACCTACGCATGTGCCAAGAACAGTGCCACCGCCCATTGCAATTAGCACCGAAGGCCAGTTATCATGAACCAGCCATATCTCAATCCCATAAAAAATTAGCAGGATTCAGGTGGTGTTTATATCTAGGGATTAAACTTTTAATCCATGTCACATCGGATGTTTGGGCACTAATTTAGAGTATTAAACATAGACTACTTATAAAACTAATTGCATAAAAGAGAGCTAATTCACGTGACAAATTTTTTAAGCCTAATCAATCTATAATTAGCACATGTTTACTGTAGCATCACGTAGGCTAATTATGGATTAATTATGCTCAATAGATTCGTCTTGCGAATTAGTCTAGGGTTATGGAATGGATTTTCTCAATAGTCTACGTTTTAATACTTCTGATTAGTGTCCCAACATCTGATGTGACAGGGACTAAAATTTAGTCCTGATCCAAACAAGGCCTCAGAACAGAATTTGCTCAAAAAACACAAACAATCACTTGAGGGGGTGTTTGGGAGAGATGGGCTAAACTTTAGCCTCTCTCTCAAAGCTACTTTAGCCCCTCTCTCAAAACCATAAGTCTCTCGGTTTTGAGAGAGGGGCCACCCCCTGAAGCATGCATCAGTAACCGAAACACAAGAGAATATTACAGCAGACTAGGTAGCTTATCAGTCCAGTCACCGTAGGACGGACGGCGACAAGAGTGGGTCTCCCTCCCGTCGTCACCTTACCTTTTCATCCAGCAGGCCCATGAATCAGTCCACTCACCTTTGCCTCGGCCCATCCATACGTACGCATTTGCGGCCCATCTCATATTGGGCCGCTAGCGATGGCATCGGTCCGTATCTCCTTGATCGGTTATCCGCGGGTAGCCCAAACACAGGATCAAGTTTCTGATTTTATATATTGACTCTTACGAGGACTCCCTCCGGTTCTATAATAATTGACACTTTGAACAAGATTGAGATCAATCTTTTATAACTTTAACTATTAATAACTTTAAAAATATTTGGTTTAAAGAAATAAGAACAACATATATATAGATTTATCTTTCAAAGTACTATAATAAAAATAAACATGCATTTATTTATTATATATATTATAATAGAAAAATAAGGTTAAAGATATATTTTGTAGACCATGTTATTGTCCAAAACGTCAATTAAAATGAAATAGGAGAGAGTAGTATTTATGAATTATGAGGACAACTCAACATGCATATAGATCACACGAGCGAATAAACACAGATATATAAATACACACACGGATCAAACGAGCAAGCAAATCAAGATTCACAAACAGATAATCATGTCTCGACTGCATGAGCTCTGAATGGAGCTACTTAGCTACTCCCTCCGGTTCCATATTAATTGACGTTTTAGACAAGGTTAAGGTCAAACTCTTATAACTTTGACCATCAATAACTTTAAAAATATTTAGTTTAAAGAAACTAGAACAACATATATAGATTTATCGCTTAAAGCACTATAATAAAAGTAAGGGGCATTTATAAATTTGCCACCGGTTTTTTCAATATTGCAAGGATGCCACTCGAATAATAGTTCTAATGGTATTTTTGCAATTTTCTAGTGACATTTTTGCAATAACGATTCAAAGTAGTGGTAAATTTGCAATTGCCCCTAAAAGTAAACATACATTTATTTATTATATATATTATATTAGAAAAATAAGGTTAAAGATATATCTTGTAGACCGTATCATTGTTCAAAACGTCAATTAAAATGAAACCAGAGAGAATATAGACTATAGCAACTCTGGATGATCGAACGAACGATCAAGTACTTCTGCTTGGTCTGGAGTTATTGACGGACATCGATCATATCTGCAAGGATCAGTTCTGAGTGCATGGTGTGCACTTGGGCCCTGGCTGTCCGGTGAACTGATCCTTGCAGACGAAGCGAGGCGGCTCCGACGACGACGCCACCGGCTGGCAATCCTTGCACGCGCCGTCGCATGCCGCCACCTTGTCGCCGCAGCTGCAGATTGGAGGGATCGACTTGGTGCAGGTGGTGTTGTCGCAGCAATCCCCCCACGGCCGCGGCGTGCAGAAGGGACCCGGGTCGGCGCCCCAGTAGACGTCGTCGCAGATGAGCGGCCCCGGGAATGGCCCCGGCGCCTCCCGGCAAGCCTTGCACGCGGCGAAGCACTGGCCGGGCTTGAGCTCGTCGTCGCAGCGCCAGAACGGCGGGTGGATCCTCGGCGGCAGCCGCCGGATGTTGTCGCAGCACTTCCACGGCCTCTTCTTCGTCGTCCGCTCCGGCCATTCCCGCTCCGGCGTGCACGGCTTGCCGGGGTCCTCCGTCGAGTACCAGTCGCGGCAGACGAGGGCGGCGCCGCCGCCGCAGGGGGAGTCTCCGGCCGCCGGCGCCGCCACGCACTCCTTGCAGGCGGCCGAGCACTGCTTGACCTCGTCGTTGCAGCGGTAAAGCGGCGGGAAGATCTTTAGCGGGGACATCTCGATATCGTCGCAGCAGTCCCAGGGTTTGGCGGGCTGCGGTGGTGCGTCGCCTTCGCTGGGGAGACGGATGGTGTCGCCGTGGGCGGCGGCGAGGCCGCCGACGGCGAGGAGGAAGAGCAGGATGGTGGAAGTAGCCATGCTGTTGTTACTCATCTTGGTTTGTGGTGTTGTGCTAGTGATGAGTCGAGTAGTTTAGTTATTATAGATAGATAGACCAAGGAAAAATATTCTAAACTCCATAGCGATGTCCAGTTGTTTGTATGTAACTTAGGTGATCATAATTTTTTTTTAAAAAAATTAACAAGATAAATTAATATGTGATATATCACTTCACAAATATACAAAACCAAATCTAATTTTTATATGTTAAAAAATAAATTTAACTATTAATATATGTTAACTATAAGTGTTTTTAACTTATAATATATATTTTTTAATTTTTTATAACTATTTAAATAGCACGCAAGCCACGAACGAACTTCTACTCTAAATCATAAAATCAACTAACCATAAAGCTGACTTGCATTGCATGAGGATAAGAGGAGCACGTGGAGGTTTCCATTCCACGAATATATGCATGCACAGAGGAATCAATTAATTAAGGAACATGTGCAAGAGGATGCATGTAGACAGGATCACAGGAATACAGGATAAAGTTTTTCTTCTTTTTTTTTTGAGAACTACAGGATAGAGTTTGGCGTGCATTTTGTTGGGTAGCTGATAGCTCCATCGTTTTGGAGTACATGACAGAGACATGCATGCATGGGTTGACCGGTTGACCCATGCATGTGCATGTGATGCCATGCAGCCATTTAATATCCACCACGTGGCCGGCGATCGAGACCGTACGTACATACATACGCTTACCTGAGATTGCGATGACACGTAGTAGTACGGCCGTGGGAATTGATTAATGGGGCAGATACGAGAGTGTCCTGTGTAAACGCACGCATCGCATGTGTGCGCGCTTGGATTATTGTCGCGGGTACATGACACAAGCAGCAGTCTGCGACACGCTGTTCTCTCTCTCTCTCTCTCTCTCTCTCTCTCTCTCTCTCTCTCTCTCTCGCATGAAATTTGACAAATTAACACTTCTAAAATCTAATTTGAAGAATGAACTTTGTAAGAAAAAACATCTATAACTCGATACCATAGAGATTGCCGTAACAGCTCGGTGCCGTCTTCTTTTGGCACCAAGAAAATTGCCGAGGTGACAAAATTAAGTTCAAATTCAGCAAGGATTCAGTACCAATATCGTTGATGTTGACCCCATATATTATACAAGTGGCATGTAATATTCGTACTACTCCCTTCGCCAAAAAAAGAATCTTAAATGTATATGTAATTAATATCGAATCTTAAATGTTTTGGTCTCTACATCATTTATCTATATTTAGTAATTAATATCCATATGAATTCGGAGACATATATGAAGCAATATATATGAATCTATGTATACATGTATTGAAAACCCACAACGTCTTAAAATGTAAATAAGACGAAGTAGTATAATATCAATATATGCGGCCCATGCTCAATGAGATATTGTGTTTTATTATTATTATTATTATTATTATTATTATTATTATTATTATTATTATTATTATTATTATTATTATTATTATTATTATTATTCAGCATGTTTCTTAATTTTCAATATAATTGTCCTCTCAGTTTACTAGACTGGTGCCCATGTGATGTGACAGGATCACGTTTCTGATCATTTTATATGTCGAGTAGATATATCGCTCGCTCATATCTCTTATTTATGATATTGAGACAACTCAACATGGGTGCATGCTTGCGTTGCATATATATTTTATTTTCCCTCTTGGTCCACACAAGCGAACAGGGACAAATTAAACACACCCACACACATGGAGCACACAAACTAACAAAGCATGCAAGATGCACAAAAGCTGCAGAGCACTGAAAAATCTGGATGGAGCTAAGCTCTAGCCTCTAGCTATACCAACTCTGAATGATCGAACGAACGATCAGCTAGCTGCAAGCTAGGGCGAGTTTTATTGATGGACACACAGATCGATCATCGATCATCTGTAGCTAGCTAGTTCTCCGCTCGGGGTTTGCACATGGGCCCGGGCTGGCCGGTGAAGCGGTCCTTGCAGACGTAGCGAGGCGGCTCTGACGACTCCACACGCTGGCAATCCTTGCACGCGGCGGCGCACTTGTTCACCTCGTCCATGCAGCGGCAGGTCGGCGGGTTCATCTTGTTGCAGAAGGCCTTGTCGCAGCATTTCCCCCATGGCCGCGGCGTGCACAAGGGGCCCGGGTCGGCGCCCCAGTAGACGTCCTCGCAGATGAGCGGCCCCGGGAACGGCCCCGGCGCCTCCCTGCACGACTTGCACGCGGCGGTGCACTTGCCGGGCTCCAGCTCGTCGTCGCAGCGCCAGAACGGCGGGAAGATCCTCTGCGGCAGCTGCACGATGCTGTCACAGCACTTCCACGGCCTCTTCGTCGTCGGCTGATCCGGCGCCGTGCACATGTGGCCCGGGTCCACCGTCGAGTACCAGTCGCGGCACACGAAGGCGCCGCGGGGGAAGTCGCCGGGCGCCTCCACGCACTCCTTGCAGGCGGCGGAGCACTGCTTCACCTCGTCGTTGCAGCGGTACAGCGGCGGGAAGATCTCGAGCGGGGACATCTCGATGTTGTCGCAGCAGTCCCAGGGTTTGGGCGGGCGTGGTGGTGCTTCGGCGCCGTCGCTTGGGAGACGGATCATGGTGTCGCCGTCGCCGTGGGCGGCGACGAGGCCGGCGAGGAGGAAGAGAAGGATGGTGGAAATAGCCATGGTGGTGTTGCTCATCTTTGGTTGGTGTGGGTGCTTGTGATGGGTGAGTACTGAGTAGCGTTATTATTTATAGAAAGATCGAGCAACCCATACTACCCAATCACAAATGCTGACTTGCATGAGGATAAGAGCACGTGGAGGCCCCATTTGCCACGCATCTGTCTACTCTGATTCCCTTCTTCCTGGCTTTGCCACTACTATATCAGTGCTGATTAATTAATTTGACGCTTTCTTCCATATGCATACTCACAGTGGAATTTAATTGACACAAATGTGACTATGCACAAATTACAAGGTGGTTTAAAACTAGGTGCGCTCGAATATTTACACATACACAAGTACTCGAGTATGTTTTCAATAATACTCGAGTAGTTTGATTTTAGTGACATTAAAGATTTGTTGTTGGTTTTGTTTTTTTTTAACATGTTTTTGGTGGTCGGATTCTTACCTTACCTATGAGGGTGGTGTTGCATGTATTTATATGTGTGCGCACACGGAAACTGTTTTAAATACTCGGGTGAACGTCCACATGTTTCTTACATGTTATCTAAATAATTATAAAAATTTTTCAAAAAAATTGGCATGATAGGTTAATATGTAATACTCCCTCCATCCACAAAAGTTACACCAATTTCACATTTGAGTTTTTCCAAATAACCTGTTCCTATTTGTAATCTTTATGTATTTAAGACTTAAATGAAGAGACAAACTAAATGTTTTATTAGAACTCAAGGAGTCATCTAGATACTCATTAGTTGCATGCTTGCATTCATTCTTTGATTTTGTAACATCCAAGGTGATTTAATTTCTCATTGGTCTTGATGTAAAAAGTAATATGTGTAACTTTTGTAGATGGAGGGAGTATATCACTTCACAAACATGCAAGTTCAAATTCGACTTCTACTAGTTGTAACAAAAATAACAAATTTGACTCTGAATATATGTATATACTAGTTAGACTTTAATTTGTTATTTTTGTTAAAACTTGTAGAAGTCGAATTTGAACTTGCATGTTTGTTAAGTGATATATTACATATTAATCTATGTTGTAAAGTTTTTTTGAAATTTTTCAATAATTATTTAGTTAACATGCAAAAAACTGGTAGACGTCTACCCGAGATATTAGAATCCATCTTCGCGCGCGTTACGTATAAATCTTTCATGTAATGGAAGGAGAGAGAAAAAAAAGAAAGTACGTATCCCTTTCACATACTGTGCAAGCATATGTTCATACCTGTGCAAGCATATGTGTTCCGGTACGTGAGACATGAGAGGAGGATGGTTCAACGTACGTTAGAAGTAAGAGGATATGCTGATATATATGCATGGATGTATGCAGGAATAGGGGTGGGCGTTCGTGTCAGGGTTACGGGTCAGGCATACCCTCTACCCTTCGATATACGTTACATATCGATATGGCATACCCACGCGCACGCGGATGTTTTCTACATATCCTAAGGAAACCTTTCACGAAATCTACAGATGGGAAGAGTCCTTCTCGGATAGAACTGGATCGTCGACGTATCGTATTGGGTCTGATATCTCCGAGTCCTACTTGGAGACCTCCAGATCTGTGATATAACAGGGACCCCCCGGGGAGGGCATAGATCATCGAATCTTAGAACCAACACAACCCACACAGCCTACAAAGCTGAGGTCTGCGAGGAGCCAAGTCATCGAGAGCTAGTCGAATCCACTCGACTACGATCTCGCCGGATCCGACAAGTTCCATCGTTCCCTTTGTAACCTGTGTTTTCCACCATATAATCCCATATCAACTGGATTAGGGCTATTACCTACCAAGGGGCCTGAACCAGTATAATTATTGTCTTTTGATTGTTCGATGTTGTACTACGTAGATCCTTGTACCAACGTACCCCAATACCCTCTATATCCGGCCTACGGGTATCACCCGTCGACAGTTCGGTCCGACCGAAAAATTCGATCTCGTTCTTCGATTTTTCGGTCAGTTCGGTCTTTACAAACTCAGGACCGAATTTTATCCAAAAAAAACTCAGGACCGGCAAATTCGGTCTCGGTCTCGGTTTGACCGAAATTTTTGTGGAGAAAATTTGGAACGAAAAATTTTGACAGAGGCATCGCCGGCGCGGTGGAGGGCGGAGGCGTCGGCTGCGGCATGGTGGAGGACGGCGTTGTCGGCCACGGCGCGGTGGAGGACGGCGGCGTCGAACGCGGCGCGGTGGAGGATAGCGGCGGCCGCCACGCGGTGGAGGCGGAGGCGGCGGCCGCGGCTCGGTGGAGGGCGGAGGCGGCGGCCGCGGCGCGGTGGAGGGCGGAGGCAGGCCACGGCGCGATGGAGGGCGGAGGCGGCTGCAGCGACGCGGTGCAGGCTGGAGGAGGAGGCGGCTGCAGCGACGCGGTGCAGGCTGGAGGAGGAGGCGGCGCTGTGCGGCAGTGGTGGTAGGGTTTGTTTTAGTGGGTTTATTGGGCTTCCTAGGCCTATTGGGCCAAAATTCGGTCATTTTGGTTAATTCGGTTAACTGATCCCAATAACCGAAATGACCGAAATAAATTCGGTCTTTTGAGGGCTGAGACCGAACAGATAACCGAATTTTTCAGTCTCGGTCTCGGTCTTTTCGGTTCGATTTTTCGGTTCGGTCTAAATATGCTCACCCCTATGCAGGAATAATACAGGATAGAGTTTAATTAGAGTATATTTTGTTGGGTTGTTGGATCATTGTTCATTCATTCATTTGTAGTACCATTATCATTTTGGGTACTGTCATATCGCCATATTCACTAGTAAAACAAAACGACTGTTAAAAATAAAAATTAATTTATAAATAAAATTTTACTCCATCCGTCCTAAAAGAAGACAAAACCTGGGTTTTCGTGTCCAACGTTTGACTATCTGTCTTATATGAAATTTTTTATAATTAGTATTTTCATTGTTGTTAGATGATAAAATATGATTAATACTTTATACGTGACTTGTCTTTTAATTTTTTTTTCATAATTTTTTTAAATAAGACAGACGGTCAAACATTAAACACAAAAACCATGGTTTGTTTATTTTTATGGAGGGAGTACATATACTTTTAACGACTTTATGTTAAAAAAAACTACATCAAAACTAATTTTAAAATTTAATAATTTATTTTTAGCTAAGGCTATTATAATGATAACCGATTGATGGGACTATCCATTTAGCTCGGTTTGCTCGATCGTTCTGGAGTGACATGCATGCATGGGTTGCCATGCTAATCATGGAGCAATTTCTAATTTCCACCACGTGATCGGTGATGGTGACCGTCGCATTAATTTAGATGTACGTCGTCCACATTATTGTAACTATAGTACTAATTAACTGAGACTGCGGTGACACGTAGTGCGTCGGAATCTGATCTCTGTACCAACTCTTCTCTCCGCATCGCATCGCGTCTGCACATGCGCACGTGGTGCATGTATGGTCTGGTCGACGAGCACAAGCACGTGCTACACGCATGCTCAGCGGCCCAGCGAGTTGAGAGAGGCCTGGTTGCTGGTTTCCTTTCCTGGACCAGTAGCTGAATCAAGCTTGGAAGCCTGGACCAGTAAAATGGGACACTAGCAGCTGTCTGCGACACACGCTGCTCTCTCTCTCTCTCTCTCTCTCTCTCTCTCTCTCTCTCTCTCTCTCTCTCTCTCATGAAATTTTGACAAATTAATCCTTCTAAAATCTAATTTCAAGAATGAACTTTGTAAAAAAAAAACATCTTTACCTCGATACCATAGAGATTGGCATAACACCTCGGCGCCGTCTTCTTTTGGCACCAAGAAAATTACCGAGGTGATAAAATTAAATTCAAACTCAGCAAGGGATCAATACCAATATCGTTGATGTTGACCCCATATCCGCCTGCTAATGGACTGAGATCCACACCAAAACCGCCCCCAAACCACTTGTCTCTACACAGTACACTTCTAAACCAATCCATTCTAATTCATAGCTTGCAGAAAACAAACCAATCCAATCCACTCACAGAGCACCCAAACCAATCCAAACCAAGTGTAGAAAAATGGATTCAACCCATTCCCAACCCAAAGGAAATCCACAATACTCGTCCTTCCTCCTTCACTAGTTCAGAGATAAGCAACTTAGTCAGACATACCCTGAACAACAAGCTTAAAAGATTCGTTTCGCAATTTACACGTAATTTGTGTAATTAGTTTTTATTCGTATATTTAATATTTTATGTATGTGTCCAAACATTTGATGTGACATGGTGAAAAAATTTGCCAGGGGATCTAAACTAGGCCTTATTTATGATATTGGGACAACTCAACATGGGTTCATATGCATGCTTGCATAGTATACATATTTTATTTTTTTCTCTTGGTCCACACAAGCGAACAGAGACAAATACACCAGCCACTGCACAAACACATGGACCAAACAACTAGAAATTTCGGTCATTCCAGACGCCACCCTCCCCCCCCACCCATATTATTTCAGCCGAAATTTTTACTTTAAAATAAATTTTGTAATGTTTGGTAATATTTTTTTTCAAATTTGATAAACATTTGTTCATAATTTTGGACTGAAATTTCGGTATATCGGTAACCTCCGATAGAATCGGCCAAACCGAAAAATTAAACCCTAGTGCTAAATGTTTCTCATGCGATGGAGTTCGAACTGAATAGCTTGCTATGTACTACTTTCACTTCACATTATAAGATATTTGATCTCTCTATCGTTCATTTATATTCACTAACATCCATATGAATTCTGAGACATATATATGAATCCATACATAAATGTATTGAAAACCCACAACATCTTCTAACGTGAAACAGAGGAATTAGTAATCATTCAATCAACATATGAGGCCCGTGCTAAATGAGATATCGTTTTTATTATTATTAATTTTTAACCTGTTTCTTAATTTTCAGTATATAACTTATCTTTCAATTTATTAGACTGGTACCCATGTGACAGGATCACGTTTCTGATCATTTTATATGTCGAGTAGGTAAATATCGCTCGTTCATCTCTTATTTATGATGAGACAACTCAACATGGGTACATATCCACGCTTGCATTGCATATTTATTTTATTTTTCCTCATGGTCCACACAAGCGAACAGAGACAAACACACCCACACACATGGAGCACACAAACTAACAAAGCATGCAAGATGCACAAAAGCTGCAGAGCACTGAAAAATCTGGATGGAGCTAAGCTCTAGCCTCTAGCTATACCAACTCTGAATGATCGAACGAACGATCAGCTAGCTGCAAGCTAGGGCGAGTTTTATTGATGGACACACAGATCGATCATCGATCATCTGTAGCTAGCTAGTTCTCCGCTCGGGGTTTGCACACGGGGCCGGGATGGCCGGTGAAGCGGTCCTTGCAGACGTAGCGAGGCGGCTCCGACGACTCCACGCGCTGGCAATCCTTGCACGCGTCGGCGCACTCCTTCACCTCGTCCATGCAGCGGCAGGTCGGCGGGTTCATCTTGTTGCAGAAGGCCTTGTCGCAGCAATCTCCCCATGGCCGCGGCGTGCAGAAGGGGCCCGGGTCGGCGCCCCAGTAGATGTCCTCGCAGATGAGCTTCCCCGGGAATGGCCCCGGCGCCTCCCGGCACGACTTGCACGCGGCGGTGCACTGGCTGGGCTCCAGCTCGTCGTTGCAGCGCCACTGCGGCGGGTCGGGCTTCGTCGGCAGCCGCTTGATGTTGTCGCAGCACTTCCACGGCCTCTCCATCGACAGCCCATCCAGCGCCGCCGTGCACTTGGGGCCGGGGTCCACCGTCGAGAACCAGTCACTGCAGACGAAGGCGCCGCCGTTGAAGTCGCCGCCGGGCGCCTCCACGCACTCCTTGCAGGCGGCGGCGCACTGCTTCACCTCGTCGTTGCAGCGGTACAGTGGCGGGTAGATCATTAGCCGGGAGATCTCGATGTTGTCGCAGCAGTCCCATGGTTTGGCGGCGCGTGGTCGTGATGCTTTGGCGCCGTCGCTGGGGAGACGGATGGTGGTGTCGCCGTCGCCGTGGGCGGCGGCGAGGCCGGCGAGGAGGAAGAGCAGGATGGTGGAAGTAGCCATGGTAGTGTTGCTCATCTTGGTTGTACTGGGGGGTGTGGGTGTTAGTGATGGGTCGAGTGGTTAATATTTATAGATAGAGATCGACCGACTAATATGTATAGCGCGCCCTTACCCAATCACAAATGCTGACTTGCATGAGGATAAGAGCACGTGGAGGCCTCCGATCCATTGCCACGCGTATATATGCATGCACACATATAGGACGAATTAATTAATCAACAAGCAACGCAGCTAATACGGTACTACTAGTATAACGTACTCCCTCCGATTCATCGATTAATCTTATAAGACGACTTTAAATTTAACTAATTTTATAAAAGTAATAGTAATACTTTGAACCTAATACAAATATATTATGAAAAATTATTCAATTATAGATTTAATAAAACTATACTGGTGTTGTAAATATTATTATTTTTTCTATAATGTTAGTCTAATCTAGAGTAGTTTGACTTTGATCAAAGTCAAAACGTCATATAACCAGTTGAAATGGAGGGAGTAACATATACTGTGTGCTACTCCATTCCACCAAAATACAGGTGATCGATCATATGTTTGTCCTAAGTCTAACTGCTATAAGTTTAAAAAATAATATTTATGATATTAAATGAGTGTCATTAGATAGATCCATTATATAATAGTAGTATATTTTAACAATTTACTCCTTAATATGGTTAGATGTTAATAATTTTCTCTATAAATCTTGGTTAAACTTAGGATAACTTATTATCTCGAAAGCATAGGATAATTTAACTTAAAAGATAAACACAAAACGGCTTATTAAAAACAAAATTTAATTTATAAATAAAAACTTTTAACGACTAACATTAAAACTAATTTTAAAATTTCATAATTTATTTTTAGCTAAGGCTATTATAATGATAACCGATCGGTGGGACTATCCATTTAGCTGGGTTTGCTCGATCGTTCTGGAGTGACATGCATGCATGGGTTGCCATGCATGCAAAGCATGGAGCAATTTCTAATTTCCACCCCGTGATCGGTGATGGTGACGTCGCATTATTAATTTTAGAAGTACGTTATCCACATTGTAACTACGTGAGACTGCGATGACACGTAGTGCGTCGGAATCTGATCTCTGTACCCTCTCTTCTCTACTGTACGCATCGCATGTGCGCATGCGCACGTGGTGCGTGTACGGTCTGGTCGACGAGCACAAGTGGATGCCCAACACAAGCACGTGCACGCGCGCAGCAGCGCGCAAGACGCACGCACGCGCCGCATGCTAAGGGTAGGAGTCGTACGTCGTCGTCGCCTCGTCGGAGAGGAATCTCCGATGGTGGAGGTGAGCGGCCAGCGAATTCAGAGAGGCTTAGAGCAACTCATGTAGGTCTGGTCATGAGTAGAAGTCCCATGAACGTACACCGGCCCTCTTCGACATGCCTCAAATCCATGATATAAATATGCAATAAATCATTTTGTTTTTATTTTAAATAAAAATTAAAATTTTAAACCACTATAATTTAACGTGTATAAACTTCAAACCTACCTTCTATTTAAGATTTGTAGTTGTGCCAAACATTGACCTTAATTTTGCGCTAGTTCAAATTATGGGTTTATATTTCCAACATCAATGGCACCATAGCACTTCACAGTGGAGGAAGAACAGGAAAAATTAGAAATTAATCTAATTACTGCATTCCGAGTTGTAAAAATAATGTGAATAATGTGCATTTATTTGCATTTCATTCTAAAACCTAGAAAAAGTAGTAAAGAAATCGAATGTCTGGAATTTGTGTATTTGCATTGATTTAACTAAGACAAACTCAATTAACAGGCTAGATGTATGGATCTCTTACACGGATGACGTATCAAACGGTCTCTACACCAAATGGGAAGAAAGTCTTTTTATCGTGCAGCAGGACCGGAGGCCATTGTAGGCACCCTCCCAAAATTATGCTCCATCATAGACACGCCACTATTTTGACTCACATCGTTGGACCGGTCCGAGACATACGTGTTATAACTTAAATTGTGGTCGCTCCGAGGGTCAGGGTAGAACTCGTTGTGTGCATCGCCAATAGCACAACGTGCATCCTCAAGCTCGAGACACTCTTGCAACTGCATCACCACTTCAGTCATAGTGAGTCGTTGTGTCGATGCTTGTGCAGTGCACGTGAACGCAATGTCCATAGCCTTCCACACACCATTTACATCATAATCACTAGGCATGCATGTGTCCACAACATCCTCGATGTTACCCCGTGCTAGACGTTGTCGTGTCCAGTGGATGACGCTGATGGGGTTTGGTTCATGCAAGATAGCCGGCTTCCCAGTGACCAGCTCCAATAAGACGACGCCAAAGCTATAGACATCGCTCTTTGTTGTTGCTTGCATTGTCATCTGGTACCTGCATGTTTAGCCCGATCAATCAGCCTTATTTAGCATTTGTCACTGAAAACAATAAACAACAACTTTGATAAATATAAATGGGCTTGTCGTACTCTGGATCGACATATCCAAGTGTGCCAACGAGAGCGTTCGTGGATACATGGGTGATGTTGTCATAGCTGGATGCCTTGGACAAGCCAAAATCGGCAATCTTTGCCTCCAACCTTGTGTTTAGTAGGATGTTGGTCGCCTTCACATCCCTGTGAATAATAGGCGGATTGCACCCTTTATGTAGGTACTCTAGCCCTGGTCATTAACCAAATATTAACATAAGCGATCAAGCTTTGGAAAATAAAATTGTAAAATTACAGTACATTCTACCTAAAAGGGTTTGTTGCAGTGCATATGGATCCATTGGTATAGTGAGAATTATACACCTAAAAAACGATATTATTGATCTACTTCCAATTTTGCCCTACACATTTTTACTTCCTATATTGTATGTAGTATAGTAGAATTTGGTCCATTGATTGAAAATAATAGATGAACTCTATTTATAACAATGCAGGTGATTGATACCTCTAATTTTGTCCACATCATCTACTCATCAGTTAAAAGATAACGTATAATACATTAGTTCAGTACACTAAGCCAAATACTACAAAATAATTTCTTTGAATTCATTTGTTCTCAATCTTCTCTTTCTCCGTGTTTCCCCTTCTCTTAGAGCTTGTCTCGATGCCACCTCTTGAATGAACAGTAGCTCATTCTCTTTTCCTCTCCTTCTTTCCTTCGTCTCATCATCCAAACATGCGTCGGCCTAGCTATTCACCTAGCATCCCACTCATATTGTACTTTCTCTAAGGTAAATAGACCCAACCTCTAAGAACAACTTAGTAATTCAAGTAGTTACCTTGTGCAGATTCCAATGCGATATTGAGCCTCTCTCTCCATGTTAAGTATTTTCCCTTTTTTGTTTTCCCCTGCAAATGGGTAAATAAAATGAGAATTGGAGATCATGAGAGGCTTATGATTGAAATGATCCACTTTATGAAGTATCAGAGTATTCCCTGTTGGCCAGTCATAGATAGTATACATGCATACCTACAATATGTTCTTCTAGGGTTCCTTCTGGCATGTACTCGTAGACAAGAGCCATGTATATCCCATCCTTGCAGTAACTGATCATAGATACAAGATTCTTATGGTGAATCCGGGTCAAAATTTGAGCCTAAGCATGCAAATGAACTTAATTATTCTCTAGTGGGATTTTTTTTCCGTAGTAGGATTTCCATATATGTAGCAAGATCATTAATATAGTGAAAAGATTCTACCTCTATGAGGAACTCCTTAGCACCTTGGCTTGAGGATTCAGATCGCAACTTGACCGCCACTTCTGTGCCATCCTCCAAGAAGCCATGGTAGACATATCCGAACCCTCCCCGTCCGAGCACTCGTTTGAATTTGTTGGTTATCTTCTCTAGTTCTTTATATGTAAACCGACGGTTCTCAAGCCGCAGCGATACATTGTCACCATATCCACTATTTATCAGCACGTGGCTTGTTGATGTCGACATCTCGTTTTGCTGCTCTAGAGAATTGTTCATTGGTCCTTCATATGCGAAAAATAGAATTATTGTAGCATTAGTGGTGTTCAAGGATGAAGTCGAATAGACAATTGCTACTCCCTCCTTTCCATATTATAAGTTGTTCTAAGTTTATTATATAACCGTGTTAGAGTTAAAGAACTTTGACGTAGGACAAAATTAAAATGACTTACAATATGGAATGGACGGAGTTGTATATACCATGGCAAACACTCACCTTGCTTTTTTCGTCTCAGCAGGCAAAAGAGTGTTGTAACTGATGCTATCAATACAACCAGAACTGCAGGAATAACTGTGTAGATGGCTAGCTTGCTCTTCTTTTTAGCTGCCTTGCATGAATTGCCGTTGATGCATAGGTTTGGATTATTTCCATATCTACCAATGGCATGAACGTGTTTAGTCAAAATGGCAAAAAGTTTGGCCTAGTGTTTGCTGAAGAAATTAAGTTTGGTAAGAGAATGTAATATGCACTTACCTTACATTTAAGGAGCCATCTTGAATCCTCTTGAGAATTCCAGATGGAATTGATCCACTGAGTTGATTTCCTGTCAGATCTCTGACGAAACCATATAATGTGTATTTCAGTTAAAAATGATGCAAGCAGGTATATATAATATAATTTGACAAAAGTTGCATTGCCAAACTTACAAAACTCTCAAGGAAGGTAATTGTGAGAGGACATCCGGAATTGAGCCGGTCAAACTGTTGTTTGATAGATCCCTGCAAGATGTGGATCAAGAAGCATAAAAACAAGATATGGAACAGGTTATTCCAAATATAACAATAAAATATCACAAATAAGCATAAAAAAAATGTTAACATGCTGAGCTCAGAACGTACAAGTATTGAAGAGCCTTGAGATTCCCAAAAGCGGATGATATGTCAGCACTCAAACCACTGGAGGACAGATTTCTGCAAAAGGAGAATATATATGATCGGCCGATACAGTTTAGTTCGTTAAATATATAGTTAACTACCCTGTTTTTCATGAGGACAATTAAGTTCGTATTCAGCAAATACATGGACTGAATTACTTACAAGCTTATGATTCTTGCACCGCTCGAATTGGGATAGCTGCAGGTCAGCTTGTCCCACGCAAATGTCTTTGGCATACACGGGTCACCCATCCAATTCTTCTTGACTTGGTACTTGTCCTTGATCGCCATCATGGAAGATGCTGCACACAGATTTTCAACAATACCAAGAGACACGATGTGCTTGAGCATATATATCATCAGCTTGATCATGTATGTATGTACAAGTGCTAATTACATGCATGTGTGTGCATAAACTTACCATCCTGCGAGTCCGTGCCGATGACTGCGGTGGAGATGATCGAGAAAATCTCGGCGGCGTTGATGAGCGGCGGCAGCGTCGAGTTGGCGGTAGCGTTGATGGTGATATTGTACCTGGAGGTTCTTTCAAGGGGCTCCAAGCCATATAAGTATCTCGCTGTAAGGTATGTCGGCTCGTAAGCAGTATCGATCAACGGTTCGCCGTTGAGATTGATGTAGAACTGGCGCGAGGCGTTGTTGGTGAGGATCTCCAGCTCGGAGAAGTGGAAGATGACAGTGTACGGCGGCGTCGGGTCGTTTGGCTGCGGCCAAGGCTCCCAAAAGAAGTAGATGTTACCTGACGCGTTGCGCGGCGTCACTGCCGTCTGCATCACCGCCGTCGGCGCATCGAATATGTCTCCGTCTAAGTTATCTACCCTCGACGCCGTGGATATCTCCTTCCATAAGCTCGATGTATAGCTGTCCCAGTTTCCCCAAAATCTGTCATGTGGGTCATCTGGGTACCTGACGAGGCTGTTATCAGTCGGGCCAAAGTTGAGGCGGTTGAGCTGGAGGAGGCCCAGCGTGGCGTTCACCTGCGGATAGAGCCTTTTGTCCAGAGGCCTCAGCTCCAGCGAGGAGATGAAGGGCGTGCCGGTGCCAGTGTTGATCAGGCAGACCTGCACAAAGTCATCGGGCACCACCACGATGGCCTCCTCATAACGAGAGCCGCCGAGGCCGAGGCTCGTGATGTTCACCATGGTCCAGAAGTTGACGCCAATGTAGAGATGAAACACCGGCAGCTTGTTGAGGCCGTCGTAGTTGCCATACAAGAAAGAGGCGCGGATGAGGTACTTGATCCCAGGCGCCAGCGACCGGGCCGTGTAGCAGTTGCGCGCACCGTCGGGGAAGGCACGCAAGTTGTAGTACCGCTGCGAGAGCTGCGGTTTGATGTACTCCGGCGAAACGTTGTAGTTGGAGCCGCCGTCGGTGAAGTCGTCGTCGGCGACGTAGGATATCTTGGTCGTGTTGTGCACGTAGCTCGTGTTCGGCTGGATACCACAGTCTATGCTAATGAAACCTGCAGCATGCAAAATTCATTAAGGGCAAAAGGCCCAATCGAGCACCTACGTGCATGCATATATATATATATATATATATATATATATATATATATATCCTGATGATGATACTATTAGTTGTACCTTTGCTGTCTGGCTGTGCACGAGATTGGAATACGCCGTCGGCGAAGCAGAGAAGAAGAAGCAACCACGGCAGCAGTGAACGCTCCATCATTGCTCATGCTAGGTGCTTATTAGCTATCAATCGAGTATACTCTCTATGGACACATGTTCCATCTATTTATAGCCATCCTTTGAGCAAGTTTAATAGTATAGCCAACTACTAACTCCAAATCATCTAGAGTCAATATAATAGCCAATTTATACAATACTTGTTTACTATACTATTAATACATGGTCTCATCTGTCATACACACGTTACGTCTTGGAGCCCGTGCTGTAGCTGGCTACAGATCTATAGCCCGCTGCTCTTCTCTCTCTTCCTTTATCTCTTTAAAATATGTTTATAGCTGGCTTATAGTCTGCTATTGTACCTGCTCTTATAATCTACTCCTATCGATCTTGTTAATTAACACCACCGTAAATAAATTAATTTAGTCATGCATCACTGAACCTGTCCAATCAAAGCAAAGGGAGAGAAACCGCTTCCTCCTCGGTGATGGACCAGCTAATTTTCGGAATCTTCTTTGTGGGACCTGCACGACTTTGCTCGACTCTTGACTGTTTCTCCAGCATGGCATGCATGCAAATATCAAAGTCTACCAGGAGTGCGTCTAACTCTGCTTACGTGGATTCACACTTACGTTACATTTTCAATTCAAACAACGTGTTGCTTCCCAGCCGCGCCTGCACGCGCGCTGACGCTTTCCAGATTTTTTGTTTAAAAAAAACAGCCTTGCTACTCCAGCCTCCGAGTTTTTTTTTAATTGAAATACGCTACATAAATGAAGTTGATCACTGACGGATGCATGCAATTAAGCTTTTCATGAGTAACTTCGACCCAAAAAGATCAATTTAAATGTATATATGAAGTTCTCGTCATTTATTTGTTGGCCTATCAACCACAATTTTTGAACTTATTTTTAAAGTTGATTTTGAGCTATCCTTTTTAATTGCGGTATGATACCAGATAAAATTTGCATGCTTTAGCCCACGCAGTCATGCTTCCTAGCTTTCCATTTTCCACCACGTGATCACGGGCGCACCAGATCCAGCCGGATGCATGTTTGGAGGGACGAATTCATTGCTGCGGGAAATTCAATAAATGGGCCTATATGGGCCACGTAAGAAACGAGCTTTAGAGTCCACAAGTAACTGAACTCGCATGAACCGGCCCATTCACCTTACCTCGGCCCTACAAGATGTTTCAGTATGCACTATGCAGCCCAGCTCAGATTGGACGATCGGCTTTGATACTGATCCAAGTAGTACCTTCTGATCGGTTGACTGATGGCTATGGCTTTTTTCTATTTTCAGTTGCACACAGTAGTACCTACGAATGTGTCCTAACACATGCTTAAAAACATAGAGACCAATGACACTATATGCTAACTTCACCCACCCAACCATTTACCTAGTAATTAAATTAAAGCCTTGTCCATATATAGCTGCCAAATCCAGCACTCGAAAAGCCCCGTCTTCCTTTTCGGCTGCAAATTACTTGTCACTGGACTAAACAGTATCTCCTAATAGCTTGATCTTCTTGCCAGAATGCCTGAACAATCAGGCTCTGAAGAAATCCAGCCTTTTTCTAAATCCTTCTGGGCAAAGAAAAAAAAATGACATCAGAACATTGGAATACTCGTAAGGCTTGCACTTAATTACTGATGTCAATCTCTCTTCAATTTTCACGCGGGTACGTGCTGGACCTGCTGGTGTACCAGAGCACTCGCGTGTAAAGAATCCTCTTTGCAGTGGGCGCCATTCGCCAAGCATGTGCTTGCTCCAAGTTTATTACTAGTAGTAGTTCTCATGTATCCATGCATGGTAATCCCAGTGCTCTTCCACCTAATTCAGAAAGCGTTAACACGCGGAGTACATGGGGTCAAGCTACCCGCGCGCGAACTTACCGTGGTCAGATCGACTGGATCGGCGTGCCTACCAAGATAAGGTAAGCAGGAGCTAGAGCACATAGAGTACGCGGAGCAAGCTTTTAGGCTTAGGCTATGTTGGGTCCAGCGTGTTCCCAAGTACGCACAGAAAACGGATCAATCCATTAACACGTGATTAATTAAATATTAGCTATTTTTTTAAAAAAATGATTAATATGATTTTTTAAGCAACTTTCTTATATAAACTTTTTTAGAAAACGTATCGTTTAACAGTTTAAAAAGCGTGCACGTGAAAAACTGGGGAAATAAGTTATTAAAGAGGGGAAAATAACACAGCCTTAGCAGAGCAAGCAACTCTGAACGATCGAGCCGAGAGAGAGAGATAATGAACGATCCGCCCCGTTTTCTTTTATTTATTGAAGGACAGATTGATATACAAGCTAAGCGATCCACGTACAAATAATAAGCACTAAACTGACAACTAAAGCAGAGCTCTAAATGTTGATTGCTAAGCTAGCTAGTAGCATGATCAAACTAACGATCAGCTAGCAGCTAGCGCTTATTATCGACGGACAGATCGATCGATCGATCACACCCGTAGCCGTAGGTTAATTACTTGTGTTCGTCGGGTGTGCAACTGGGACCTGGCTCGCCTCTGAACCAATCATGGCAGACGTAGCGAGGAGGCTCCGACGACGACGACGACGACTCCAGCTGCTGGCAATCCTTGCACGCGGCGGCGCACGACTCCACCTCGTCGGCGCACCGGCAGATCGGCGGGAGAGACCTGCTGCAGATGTCCATGTCGCAGCAATCTCCCCACGGCCTCGGCGTGCAGAAGGGGCCCGGGTCGGCGCCCCAGTAGACGTCGCCGCAGATGAGCCGGCCCGGCGACGCCTCCTGGTCCTGGCACACCTCGCACTGGGCGGCGCACTGGCTGGGCTCCAGCTCGTCGTTGCACCGCCAGAACGGCGGGAAGATGCTCGCCGGCTGCTCCTCGATGTCGTCGCAGCACTTCCACGGCCTCTTCTCCGTCGGCATCTTCGGCGACTTTGCTCCGTCGCTGGGGAGGCGTATGGTATTGGTGTCGTCGTTCGCCGTGCCGTGGGCGGCGACGGCGACGGTGAGGCCGCCGAGGAGGAAGAAGAAAAGGATGGAAGAAGTAGCCATATTGCCGCTATTCATCTTCTCGTCGATGCGTGGGTTAATTGGTGTTGGGGATGTGCAGCGTTATTTATGGGCCAAAAAGTGTGCTAAAGCTAATAACACAATCACAAAGCTGACTTTAATTTACAAAAGATGATTAGCTAGCCTACTTGAAAAAAAAATCGCGAACGTATAAAAGAATTGCATGTCAATATATTTTAGAAGAAAAGAGTTTTAGTTACACAACGTAATCAGCCAGACCTGCTTATACCAGTGGAAGGGAGAAAAAGAAAAATAAAAAAGCTGAAGGTTAGAAAACGACAACGTGAGACTGAAGAGAAGGGGCTGAGCCACGCTACACTTCCAACAAATCCCAAAAACGACAACGCTAGCTAAATACCATAGATGGCCCTCCGAGTGGATAGACTCTAGAACCACTGAAACTGAAGAAAACGCAGAGTCGAAAAACCTAGTTGAAAAATAAATTATAACAAAATTTTGCTGAATTCAAACATATTTCACCAAAATTAAAACTTGTCCTAGATAATCCAAATGAGAATTGCCAAAATAATTGGAAAATAAACAACAATAAAAATTGAACAAATTTTATAGAATTAAAAAAATATAAAATAAAAGGAAATTAAAGCATGAACAAATATTTGCATCGGGACGAATTTGGTTAATACGGCCCATGTAAGCAACGAGCTTTGAAGTCCATGTGAAACTAAACTTCCCGGAATAAGTTTACTTAAGTTCTCTCAAGTTGTCGCCGAGTTCTCTTTTGACAACAAAGTTAGGGATTTCATGTGAACTTCTTCTAAACTTCCCTGAACTGGCCCACACACCTTGCCCCAGTTGCCCTCGGCCCATCCAGATCTGCGTGTGCGCAGCCCAGCTCAAATTTGATCGCTAATTGTGAGTTTGTGACCTTCGTTTCGGTTGGGTTGACTGATGCGCCTATGGTTTTGACCTTTCTGGCTTGGACGGAGGTGCCGTTTATCTCTACCAATCTACCATCATACGTAGTATTATGTTCTAGATGAACTCCACCGGTCAAATTAAGGGTTTTTTAAGATAATGAGGGATTTTATTAGTCAATAAAAACATCCGGACTCTGTCCTGACTAGGGATGCATGCAACCCAAAAAAAAAAAATACAGGATGGATGGGGATTAATTTGTGATACGATCGGGTGAAAATATGGTTGTTCTCTCACTGTTTATCAAGCTTCAATTCTACATTTATTGTTCATAATATTGATTGATGCGTGTGAAACATGAACAAGCTTCCGCATGCTTTTATACTGAGTAGCTAGAGATCACTCATTATTCAACTTATTATTTACGATGACAGCGCAACATGGCAACATTTATTCATTTATTTTGCTCTTGGTCACTGGCTAGACCATCGTTCACACGAGACAACACACAATTTAAACACGTAATTAAGCTAAGCGAGTTGCAGCAAAACACTCTCAAGCTATAGCAGAGCTCTGAATATGGAGCTAGCTAGCAACACTGAATGATCGAACGAACGATCAGCTAGCTGCTAGCTAGGGCGAGTTTTATTGACGGACACAGATCGATCGATCGATCATACATATCGATCTGCAGCTAGTTCTCGCACGAGTGTTTGCACTTGGGCCCTGGCTGGCCGGTGAACTGGTCCTGGCAGACGTAGCGAGGAGGCTTCGACGACTTCACCCGCTTGCAATCCTTGCACGCGGCGGCGCACTTCTTCACCTTGTCGTTGCAGCGGCAGATCGGCGGGATCGACCTGGTGCAGGTGGTGTTGGTGCAGCAATCTCCCCACGGCCGCGGCGTGCAGAAGGGACCCGGGTCGGCGCCCCAGTAGACGTCGCTGCAGATGAGCGGGCCCGGGAATGGCCCCGGCGCCTCCTGGCACACCTCGCACTGTGCCACGCACTTGCTGGGCTCCAGCTCGTCGTTGCAGCGCCACTGCGGCGGGTTGGTCTTCGTCGGCAGCCGCTCGATGTTGTCGCAGCACTTCCACGGCTTCTTCTTCGTCGGCGCCTGCTGTGCTGATCCTCCGTCGGTCGGGAGGCGTATGGTGTTGGTGGTGGTGTCGTCGTCCGCCGTGCCGAGGGCGGCGGCGGTGAGGCCGGCGAGGAGGAGGAAGAGAAGGGTGGAAGTAGTCATGGCGGTCTTCATCTTCTTCGAGTAGTAGCTTAGTTGGTCTCGAACTCTCGATGATATGTGGTGTTATTTATGGAGACCAAATAAGATAAGCTAACCCCATCACCTAACTGACTTTAATTGTGTGGATAAGAGCACGTGGCAGCACGTTCTCGTAGAGAGAGGAATTAACAAGCAACTTAACACTCCTAGCTACTATTCCTTATTATTCCTTTGGTCCATGGAAAAATGATAATGCATATCTTGTGGTATGAAAGATGGAGATTATATGAGGAGGATGGCTCAACCTCAACGTCAGAATATATCAACAAGATGTGCATGCAATGCACAAGATCGACATAGTTTTGTTTCTTTCTGACCCGTTTCTTCGTTCGGACTATAGGTGTACAAGACAGGGACATGCGTGATTGTATGGTTCCCATTTCCATCACATGATCACGACCGTTCATACGATGCAATATATCCACGCACCTAATTAATCTAAATCGTGACTACACGTACGGTTAGCCGCGTGGCAAGTCGCTGATGAATGGGCAGCTAGCCAAGCAAGCAGAGTCAGAGAGCAGGTATTGAATTGAACAAATGAATTCTAATACATACATCATTTTCCATCGATGAGTTTCAACTCCATCTAAAATAAGAGTGAAACTAAATAAAGCACTCTTACAAAATAAACTAAAGAGGGTCTTTTCAGAGACATCTTATAAAAAAAATAAACTAGAGAGAGTGAAGCTAGGTTTATGCATACATATCTCTACCAAACAGCCATTACATATTGATGTAGTCCTGTTCTTTTCTCCAACAAGAGTTGGATGAAGATTAAGATTTTCGTGGCACGCTTTTCAAATTACTAAACGGTGCGTTTCGTGCGAAAACTTTCTATATGAAAGTTACTCTAAAATATCATATTAATCTAATTTTCAAGTTTGTAATAATTGAAACTCAATCAATCATACGTTAATACCACCTCATTTTACGTAAAAAACTTAATCTTTATCTTCATCTTCATTTTCATAAGAAAAGAACCCCACCGTCAGTACAGCCCAGCGCAAAATCCATGGGCTCATACCGTCAATACAGCCCAGCGCACGCTAGATCGCTACCAGTACTAAGCGATCCTCCTGTTGGGCCACGTACAACCGTCAGATCAATAGGAGTAGTAAACAAGGAAGGGTCCAGATCGCACCGAAACGAGAGGCGGAGTGATGTTTTTACCCAAAAAAACCCTTGGATTAACACGTTTTACCCCGCAAAATCATCAATCACCGCCTCCTTCCTCCTCCGTCGTCGTCGGCGACGACTCGTCGTTGTCGTCGCCGCCGCCGTCCTCCCCCATCGTGCTCTGCTCGGATCGACTGGGGAGGGGGTCCACCGCCGCCGGCATTCCGGGAGCAGGAAATTTTCTCAACGAGGGTTCATGACCGCAGCAGCTAGCTAGCCTCGTCGCTCATCCACAAGACTAGGAAACCAGAGGGCCTCGAGGTGGCGGCAGTGGCGACTAATCCCCACCCCACAGCGCCTAGGGTTTTGATGTACGGCCACACCCAACCTCGATTGGGAAACCTCCTTATTCTATACTCTCCTCCATTGGACTATTGGAGTGATCTCGCGGGGTGCCTTTGCCCGATTTTAGTGTTTAGGGTTTATGCGCCGCGCCGAGCTTTATGCTCGATTGAATTCCAGTTGATTGGTCTCCTTTGTCAAATTAGCTAGCATAGGCGACTCTTAACCCACGATACTATCAAGGCACACTTGCATTGGGAAGGAATTGAAGGAAAAGGTTATCAAAACAACACAAACATTCTCGTTCTATACATGTGGGGGGGGGGGGGAAATAGCAGAAGGCGAGTGCAAATTTTATTGTTCGGTGCAAAATATGAAACCGAATTGTACGTGATGTGAATTACATAGTTCCTTCTCACATCACATTGGTTCACATCCAAAGAACAGTATCAGTTCTAATATTTTCGAAATGTTGTGGTAAGATTCTATAGTACTTGTGCTAGCCTATAACTTGGAACTATTGGTTTCGAACAGGCTAACTTGGAACTGGAATGGATTTCTCTCTTTTCCTTTACCCATCGTTTTGGATTCCTGGTACCACTTTGTGAAACTATGAATTATAAAAGAGCATATGCATAGTCTCTGTTATTACTTTGTGATAGTATCACAACACACATTGTATCAAGGAATTGGTAGTCATGCAGGAGTAAAATATCTTAAATGACTCTGCTATCATACTGTAGCTTCTCCTATGTCTTGTTCATGATCTCGGGGGTAGTATGCTAAATTTCACTACCTACGCAAAGTTCTTTTTGTTTAGGGTCTAGATTCAGGGATCATACAAACCAAAATGTACTAATTTTACTTAACAAAAGGGTCAAATTTCTCATGGAAAATATGCTGCACACCTTGCTGCTGATAAATCATTTATATTTATCTTTGCTGCGAGCCTGTCTCATCTGCAAGGGTCACTGCACAATGTTCTGTGCATGGCCGCTAGGCAATTGCCACAATCACTTATACAAATGAACTTAGTTAAGGGATTTGTGGTAATTAGCTACCTCAAAGAATTATGTGATCCATTATTGTTAGTAATCCAATCTTATTCTCTGTATATTTACATATTTTTAGATTCCAGCAATTCTGTATGTGACCTTTTGAAAAGGTTACTGTAATACCCCCTATCTATCAAATTTGTCAGTACAATTTGTGAGACAAATGTGACTAAACTGTTATAATATGTAGGTTGCACTTGCAATGGTGAGCGTGTCAATGGGACATAATGCTGACAAGAAGCAGGTTGTCACAATTGGCATGGACGTCTTGGACTGCCCTGTCTGCTTTGAACCCTTCAAGCCTCCGATTTTCCAGGTACATGAATCGCATATATAAGAGCATCTAGTTTATTTCTAAAGATAACCAGATTGGCAAAATCTGGTCTTGTTTTCCTAGAAAACTTCTGTCCATATGTGAAAGTAGTTATGTGGTAGTGCCTCTGCTACTCTTGCATGAGGACATGTTCTGTTTTTGTTCGACTTAATGTTGTTTCTGTCAAATTAAGTCTAGTCTCTCACGAGTACTTATTAATCGTTGCATGAGGACATGTTCTGTTTTTGTTCGACTTAATGTTGTTTCTGTTGAATTAAGTCTAGTCTCTCACGAGTACTTATTAATCGTTTTGATACCGCAGTGTTCTGTGGGGCATTTCATCTGCTCCTCTTGCTGCAACAAGCTGAATAAGTGCCCTGGGTGCTCAAGAACCTCCTTTGAACACTGCTTGGGCATGGAGCGCATTGTCGAATCCGCAGTGGTTCCTTGCACCTACGCCGAGCATGGATGCACCAACAAGATGTCACGCCCTGAACTAGCCCTGAACAGAACTAGCCCGTGACGCTCCAAATTAACCTGTTAATCGATACTAGTCCCAGGAAACAATGCTGGTATCACAGGAAGACAGAATATCACAACAACAGAGGTCTCTTTATTACAGAGTAGGAGTACAGTCATGTTGGGCTGCGGACAGATCCCGAGCTCACAACTGCATTACAAAAGGGAAAGCGGAAGCCAAGACTTGGACCAAACATCACAGGCGCGACTTGGGAACTAGGCCGAAACCCTAAAACTCATCGTAACCGACTTGCTCCTAGAAGAACTCCTCGTCAGCGAGATCCACATCATCTTCTTCAGCAACTGGGGGGGTTATTTATATAGAGCAAGGATGAGTACAGGAGTACTTAGCAAGCCATGGGAATTTAAGTGTTTAATGTAGGCTTCAAGGAAAGGCTGTTGTTTTTGCAATTGATTTTATTTAAACTCCTTTTTGAAACAACTAAGTGAGTGCTTCTCAAACGACATGGATGAGACAGTGCGTCACGCCCGGTCGGAGTATGTGCAATGTATCAGTCTTTGAATTGATTCAAGGTTGGCACCCGGCCAACAACTTTCAAACGGCCACCCGGGCCTGGCTGATCCCATCAGCCGGCGATTTTCCAAACATCGAACCCATTCCACAGCAGCAATTTCACAAAGCAGTAGTCAAACAAAACTACGCTAGGAATCACCTCACATCCGCCTATGACCGTGGGCACGGCTGTTCGAACAGTTTAATAACCTCTGCAGAGGGGGTACACTTTACCCACACGACATTACTAACCCGGACCATCCAGCCCGTGCAGAACGGCCACATATAGAGACCTTAAGGCTTTCATGACAAGGCATTTCGAAAGCCGACACAGCTTCACCATATGCCAACGAGAGGGATCCCAGACCAACACCAGATTAGGTCCCAGACCATACTGTGCCAGGAAACCCGGGGGTTCTCCCCGGCACCACCCCGATGAATCCACATGTCTCTTGGCATCATGGTTCCCCCGATTAGCTAGTTACTCAGCCAGGGGTGTCCCATTCCACCCATGTGGTCGCACTTGTCTTATGTTCGGATGAAATTCCAAGGAAACGGTCCTTAAGTGTAAGAGCGGGAAACCGTACTCCCGGTACGTTCCCCGGTCTGCGATTTTGGAAATTCATTTAGTTCGCAAGCACCGACCCAGGTGTCGGGTTTTCCAAGTCTTTTGTAAAACCCAAGTTTTACCTATCGTTGGATATTTTATATTTTGAGGGGGGGTGTTCCAATGCGCGTACCCGAAGGCCCGTGCATCGAAGCACAACAGTTGACAAAGGAGGTTTAAGTGTTCAATAATTCAAGGAGGGTAATTGCAGCAATTAGGATTGGGGGCCGGCAGGCTATCTCGCAAGCCGCGGCCGAATTACTTGTGTAAATCCTATTCATGCAATATTTGTGAAAAAGAAATACTTAGATTTAAATTATAGGTGCAAGATGATCAAAGGTGACTTGCCTTGCTCGAGACCTTGAGCTTGATCCTCGAAATCCTCGCACTGCGGGTCTTCGGGCTCCGAAACTACACGCGAAACGGGACAACTCAACAAACGGCGAAAATAAAGCCCTATTATTGACCTCTAAGCGTGCCATTAGATAGATCTCGAGATTTGAGGAATTTTAAAAGTTGAACAGAGTCAAACGGACTTACGGTTGGGAAGATATTGAATTTCTAAGATTATTGGATTTTTGATCTAAAGGAAAAGGATTTATTTAAATCCTTTTTGAGAAAAGAAAAGAAAAGAAAGAGGGAGGGGAATTAGACTTCCCTCAGGCGGCTAGGGCGCGGCCCGAGAGAAAGGGGCGGCTCAGCCGAACTTAACGGGCTGGCCGGCCCGAGAAGGCGGCCCAAGGCGCGCGCGCGGGCGGGGAGGAGAGAGAGGGAGCCGGTGGGCCGGGTCTATCTCGCGTGGTCCCGAGTGGGACCCGCTTGTCGGCAGCTCGGCTCACCGTGAGCGAGGTGCAGGCGGGGCGTGCTTGGGTTTGGGAAGGGGAGGCGCGGCGCACGCGCGGTTCGCGGAGGACGCGGTGCGCGGCGGGCCCACGCGCAGCCTCACGGCTCACCGTGGACCATGCGCACAGGGCGGGTGGAACGGAGGGAGCGGCTGACCAGGTTAGCCGATTCGGTCGTGCCGAGGTGGCACCGACGTGGCGCCTACGTGGCTGCCACGCGGGCCGGCTGGAGGAAGACGAAGGCGCCGTCCGCGAATGGACGGCGGGCGGCGGCGGTTTCTCTAGGACGCCGTGTGACGACGAGGGGCGACGGGGTGTTCATCGGAATGACGAGGGAGAACGAGAGGGAGCGAGCCAACGGCTTGGATTTGCCGGAGGGAGTTCGTCGGCGGCGGATTGCGATGGCGGCAACCGGCGGCGAGAAAAGGGGGAAACGACGACGAGGTCACGAGGGGCTGATTCCCGGCGGTGAGAGCATCTACGCGGCTACGGTAATGCATTCCTAGCACCGGATTAGGAGGAAACACGCCGTGGGAGGCCGGCAACGAGAGGTGGCTACCGGACTCGGGCGGCGACGGTGGCGAGCCCACTGCGAGCGACGGCAGCAGTCGGGGCGGCGCCAGTTTGCTACGGGGAGGCTACACATGCTTCTAACCGAGTCTAAGGGGAGGAGGCGGAACGAGGAGGGAGAACGGGGAGATGCACTACCGTGCGGGCGGGTGCAGTGACGATGGCCGACGGCGCGGGGCGTGATCGCTCCGGCCTCGGGCCGGGGAAGAGTAAGGTGAGGGTGCGCCCGGAGTCCACGTCACGCGTCCTTGCTTGTGCTGGCTCCTCCGACACGCGCGACGACGAACGGCGACGACGAACAGGGCACAGGCGTGGCGGCAATGGCGAGGGACGAAAACGAGGGAGATTGATTTGGGGAGGGGCTTGGGTTTATAGGGTGGCAATGTCGGTTCGGAAACCGACCTTGGGTAGTCAAGAGTGAGCTGGTGCTCTGACGCTCGCGGTCAAAATGGCGGCAGAGGGCATGACGCCGGCGAGGGAGAAAAAGAAGGAAAGAAGGAGGGAAAGGAGGCTTGCCTCTTGCCACTTTGGGAAAAGAAGGAGGGAGAGGGGGGCGACATGGCAGAGGGAGGAGGAGCTCTGCCTCCGTCCCTTGGAAGCTAGCGCGCGGTGGTGGCGGGGCCGGGTCGACGACGACGGCGATGACGGCAGACCGGTTTGGAGCGGAGCGGCGACACGGGCGGCAGACGCGGGGCAGGCGCGGTAGGTGCTGACGGCGGCGGCGACTGGCCGGTCGGCCACCACGGCGTGCGCGCGCGGGAAGCAACGGGGCGACGCGACGATTTGGGCGGCATTGGCGGGAAGCGGCAGCGAGGGCGGAGGGCGCTCGGCTCGGCGTCGGCTCACGCGCACGCGCGCGCGCGCGGCGTACGAGCAGAGCGAGGGAGGGGAGAGCCGAGGGAGAGGCGCTCGGCGCGGCGCGGCTCACGCGCACGCGCCCACGGCGCACGGGCAGAGCGAGGGAGAGAGGGAGAGAGAGAGAGAGGGAGGGAGAGAGAGATGGGCCGAGAGGAAATCGGCCCACCGAACCTGAGGGAGGCAAAATAGACTTTTGCGGAGGAATTCGATTTGGGAAGGGAAATTGAGATTAGGGTTTGGATTTGACTATGGATCGGGGATTTGAGATCCGGAAAGGCACGGAGACTGACTGCAAGCGAAGAAATAATTTTCACAATTAGGGTTTTTAGAATTTAATTTTCCCGCTAGGCGCCACGACGGAGCGGGCGCTACACAAGATCACCTACTTCAACAAGAAAAGCCATGAGCAGGCGTGCTCCTACGAGCCGTGCTTCTGCCCGGACTCTGGCTGCGGCTTCAGCGGGTCAGTGGCGACGCTCTGGAAACATTTCACCACTCAACACAAGTGGCCGTCCACGGAGTTCAAGTACTATACACCGTTCGACCTCAGAGTCAAACCAGGCGCCCACTTCCTCCGAGCTGGCGATGGTCAGCTCTTCGTGATGAACATGGTGTCGGTGGAGCCAGTCGGCCATGGGGTCTCCCTCGTCTGCATCCAGCCGAACACTTCGGAGTCCAGTTTCAGGTGCAATGTTGTCTTCTCCAGCTTCACGGGCCATCACCAGATCTCGACGCTGGAGTCAGTCAGGTGCTCGTCGCTGTCGGACGGGCTTCCAAAGAACTACTTCTGCATCGTGCCCAAGTCTCCTGGTGGTGGCGCTGCCGTCTTGCTCAGAATCACCATCGACACTAAGTTGGTGCTCGAAGTCGAGGACGAACAGGAGGAGGAGGAGGACGATGACGACTATGATGAGGATGAGGATGAGGATGACGAGAGCGACGACGAGGATGGGAATTAGGGGGCAATTGTCTGTGGACATGGATAGGAGTACGCAAAATTAGTTTAGCTTAGGACAGGTTCTTTGTATGGATGTCCACATGCCAAAAGCTCATCAAGCAGACTATATTTTTTAGTGCTTCATAGGAGTATTATTATTCAGTAACTGAGTTTATATCTTCTTTGTTGATACAAGTATGACTTGGAGTATACATGCGTACCGAAAAATCCTTGATGTGGCGAGTAAACTTCTGTATCGTATACATTGCAGCATTACAAAGACCCACTCATTCCTGCTTAACCAAATCCCCCAACACATGCTTGCCAAAAGCACTAAACGGCTAAACCTAAAGTCCCCCCCTAGTTTCCTTCTCAACATATCAAAACCCTCCCAGAGAATTGATAGGTGTATTGTCTAAACTTAGTCTCCCTCACCACTCTTCAAGCAAATTTTGCAATTGGGCAACAATACAACACATGATCAGAAGTTTCAGTAATTTGACACATCAATTTCTTGTTAGTTTTGGTGACAAAAGAAATATGCCTTGGACTTTTGAATGGAGGAAGACTCCATCTATCCTCTCTCTCTCTAATCAGATTAGAGATACTCCATTGAGGATGAGGGGCATTTTACTATTTGCCACCCATATGTCAATGACATGTGGGTCTAATGATAAATAATTAATTGCCACATCTATAAGTGGTTAAATCTGATTTTTTTTAAAAAAAGATATGCTAGTTAATTAATATGTATGCATGTACATTTTATGTTATGAAATATCGAAAAAAGTGGTTGCGCGTTTTCCCTAATGTTTCTTCGTAATATCTCGTGTGAGGGCTTGTTTATATCAACTGTCAAACTCCACGTAGTAACTACTCTTGTTTTTCGTTTAAAGGAAGACTTAAATGACTGAACTCCTTGATACTGTTGCTGGTTAATTGCAAGTAGTTTGACCACCGTCTTCCACCCAACACATCAGTATATATATTGGGGGAACATGAGCAATTGAGCTAGTACAAGAGAACTTCAGATTTGGAGGCAGTAGTATACGATGGAGATCAGCAGCAGCCTCAACAAGAGGAAATTAGGGGAAGCTCAGCATGATGGAGATCGCGTTGTCATCAAGAAGAGGCAGAGTGTCAGCATGGACATGGAGGTCTTGCACTGCCCCGTCTGCTTTCAGATCCTGAGGCCTCCAGTTTTCCAGGTACGTACACTCATTTGACATGATGGAGTACATAGCATTTGGTTGTGCTAAATTTAATTTCTATCGAATTCAACATTTTGAATTGAAGTTGGATCTCACATGGATGCATGTCTTTGCATAGGCTCTTGTTAATTTTTAGTGTGATCTGGGGCACTTGGTGTGTTCGCCTTGCCGTGACAATCTGCCGGCCGGAGGCAAGTGCCCGTCGCCGTCGTGCTTCGGAACTCCCTCCGTGCGCTGCGTCGCCATGGAGCGCGTCGTCAACTCCGTCGAGGTCGCCTGCGCCTACGCCGAGCACGGCTGCCCCGACAAGATCGCCTACGCCAACATCACGGAGCACGAGAAGACGTGCCCGCACGCGCCGTGCTTCTGCCCGGAGCCCGGCTGCGGCTTCGCCGCCGCGTCCGCGGCGGCGCTCGCGGACCACTTCACCGCGCCTCGTCACAACTGGCCATCGCACAAGCTCAGCTACAGCCAGCCGTTCGAACTCCGCGTCCACCCGGGAAAGAACGTCCTCGTCGGAGAAGAAGACGGCGCCCTCTTCCTGCTGAACGTGTCGCCGGCGGCGGAGCACGCCGTCGTCTCTCTCTTCTCCGTGCAGCCGCACCACGGGGCGTCCGGCTTCGGACGCTCGGCGAGCCATTTCGGATGTTCGGTGGAGTTCTCATGCTTCCTGGGGCATCTACAGTGTTCGACGCTGGTTACTGTCACGAGCTCGTCGCTCTCAGATGGAATGCCGGAAGAATGTTTCTTCTCGGTGCCCGAGCTGCAGGATTCTGTTGATGGTGATGCCGGTGTCGGTGTGGATATCCGCATCACCATAGATGAAGCAGTGCCGTTGTTTAGCTGTGTCGACGGCATGGAGGACGACGACGACGAGGATTGTGACGATGATGTCGATGCTAACAACGGCGACGATGATGAGAATGACGGGGATACCTCCGATGACGAAGACGAGGATGATGAGGACGGTGACAGCTGCTGTGACGACGAAGAAGACTGATGCAATGGGCAAATGGTTGTGAAGAATTCTAAAAGAAATCCGACAATGTTTCAAAATCCAAGTAATTTTGGTTGTCTAGTTATATAGCCGGAATCCGTTAGTATAAGAACGGAGGTACTAGTATATTTGTGCAACTTAAATATATGGAGAATATGTAGTGCTTTCAGATTTGAGTATGCCGTTCTCTCTACGTGTGGATCAGTTTTAAATATGAATTTTGATGGAGCGATAAATGGCATTATTCACTACTCCCTTCTTCCAAAAATCTAAGTTCTATTCCTTTTTCATCAAGATCAAGAATCAATTAATTCATTCACCATATGATAAAACCAATGAACATGCAACCAATAAGTATGAAAAGGTTCCTATCAATAATTTAATTTAGTAGATAATGACTACAAATAGGACTTAGACTTTTGAAAAAACTAAAGAATGAAATAGGTGACTTTTGGAAGGAGGGAATATGTTGCTCATCGCTTTAAGAAATGGAGTACATTTCATTTGAGAGAAAAACGCACACGATAGTCGAAGGATTAGAATCTATTCTCCCTTAATAAGCTCAAAAAAAAAATTCCATTCTCCCTCTCTGACGAGGACACGTTTCTGTTCATCTTCATTGCTATTTTTGTCGTGCTCTCTCTCGTTAAAGGAACTAAACTAAATTTTCTTGTTTTGAGCGGCACGGCATGGAATCCGGCTTCAGATGCTCAGTGGAATTCTTTTTGCTTCGAGGGGCATTGCGAGGCTTCGACGCTGGAAGCTGTCAAAATCTCGTCGCTCTCTGACGGGCTGCCGAAAGATCGTTTCTTTTCGGTGCCCAAGCAGCAGGATGGGGACGCCGGTGTCGTGCTCGGCATCACCATTGATGATGTCGAAGACGTAGAGGACGAGGACTCCGACGAGGAATGTGAATGACGGATCCAGTAATTCATCGTGATAATGGTTACGCTGCGTTCATATATTTGCTTGGTTGCGCAAGAAATTAAGTATACTTAGGTTTATTTTTAGCTTAAGATTATTATAATCTACATTATTGAACTATATTACTATAAACTGAATTATAATAAGCCGATATATAATAAGTTGTGAGCTGTTTGTTTCTCTGGATTATAAGCTGTTTGTTACTCTCTCCATTCCAAATTGATCTATATATAATTTTTTTTGAGGTTATTTCTAAATGATCTACATATTTGTGTTCATTCATTAGGTCTATTCGTTATTTGTGCATTAGAGTAAATGGACATTGATGCATGTATCCATGCACACAAGCATTTATAACTCACATGCAATATCTTGATTTGCTATTGGTTAGGAAATAGTGAGGATGGTGCATGCATTGAGTTTGTTGCTAGAGTAAATATAGTATGAGAGAGTTATTAGCTTTTCTGGGTCTTGGTGTACCTATGAAATATGTGGATCAATATGGAATGGAGGGAGTAGATTGTAATAATCTATCCTAATAAGCTATATGTTTATTTTATCTTATTTCTGATAATCCATATTATAATAATCATAAGCTGAATCAAACAGGACCTTAGTAGTACTCCCTCCATCTACTTTTGATAGTTATATTTCATCTTAGCACATAGACCAAGGATAAGTAATTCTACTTACCATCTATTTAAACATGCTACTAGTCATTCATCGTAAACAAGCAATTCATTAATATTTACATTTCTCGATGCCTATGTAGCCAATCTTGTGTGGAAGAATAGAAAGTCATGCATTAAATCCGAGAAAGTCATTAAGATGATAGGTTGTTGAATTAAAATATGCCTATCAAAAATAAATTTTTCAGATTTAAAAATATGACTATCAAAATTAGATGAAGGGAGTAGTATTTTGCAGTACATTTGTCTTCCTTCTTTTTTTAATTACTCGTTTTAGGCTGCGTTCGTTAACCCCTCTTCCTCGTTTTCCGCACGCACGCTTTTCAAACTGTTAAATGGTATATTTTTTGCGAAAAAGTTCCAATACGAAAGTTGCTTTGAAAAATTAAATTAATCCATTTTTTTAAAAAAATAGCTATTACTTAATTAATTATGCGCTAATGAACCGCTTCGTTTTTCGTGCGGTGGAGTTGGGTTCCCAACCCTAAGTATCAAACACAGCCTTAGTATGATTTGAACTCAAAATTAAGTTCAAGATTTCTGTTGACTCTTCTGTGCTCATCAGTTACGCAGTCACTTTCTGATCGATGGGCCAGTGATTACATCCTACCCCTGTGTTATCCCCAACATTTCTGATTACTCTGGTGAACTGATGATGGTGTCGTATGTGATCTCCAAATAATCGGAGCTCCATAATAATCAGTGCACTAGAAATTACAGTGCATTGTGCCTCTGATTCCAACGAGTTATGGGGAGGGTGTACCATTTCGTTTTGATTAAAAACCGCTACTCACCGGTTTACGGAAACCCGATAAAGCCATATCAACACCGTATGATAAACTACCTAAAAACAATTGGTTTCCACAAACTGATCATCAACGGTTTTGTTCACCCGTATTTTATGGGTCAATGAAACAAGACTCTGAATTTGAACTTTTCATAAGCCAGTCGCACCTGAATACAGAGATAGTACAGGGAAATAATTTTGATATCTCGAGGGGATGTCCTCTCGTATGTTCAAAATCCATACAAACGGTTATGAAAATTTTTAGAAAAAAATAACAACTTACCCATCAAAGATATAAAAATGATAATTTCATCGTGTGAATAGTACTGTTTACACCCGAAATTGTCTTTTTTTTCTCAATATTTAGGTTAAATTTGACATTGATTTTTGGTGGAGCAATAGATTTCAATATACTTCGCATTGAATTTGAAAGAAAAAAGATAAACAAACGGACATCTCCTCGAGAGATTAAAATCCATTCCTGGTAGTGTGAGCTAGCAGTCCATGCAAGCTGTAAGACAGTGACAAGAACAATTTAGCAATATGAAGGCTATGTTGTTCCACGTTAAAATTGGAAGTTTGAATAAATTAAAACGATGTGACGGAAAAGTTGAAAGTTTATGTATAGGAAAGTTCGATGTGACGGAAAAGTTGAAAGTTTGAAGAAAAAAAAGTTAGAATCTATTAAACAGCACCGAATTCATGTTTAGGAAAGATCAGGGGGGTAGGGAAGGATTCAATGCAACCCCTCAATGCCATGCCGTTGGTTCCCTCGTCGCTGAAACGTCCAATCCGTTCAGACCTACTAATAACCCAACCCAAAGCCTGGCACAAGAGTGATGAGATGAGCTACTACTCCAATCCTGGAGTATTTACAGTGGCATGGCACTCTCCATGAGCATCAAGTATAAGCTAGTGGAGTACTACGAGTACTAGATTAGGAAGCAAGAGAGTCGAGAGCGAAGCATGGAGACGACGAGCACTGGATCCAGCAGGCAGAGGAGCTCCGTCGCCACCATCGATCTGGACGCTCTCGACTGCACCATCTGCTACAATCCCCTCCAACCCCCCGTCTTCCAGGTACGTACCTACTCCCAATCCATTTCCGGTTCATCAAAAGATTTGTGTATTTTATGCTCATCGATCGAGCTACTTTCATATGCATAAATATTGATGGAGAAATTTTTATATTTTAGAATAAATCCTAAAGAATAAAGGTTGTTATATTTTAGGATGAATGGAGTAGTATCTTTATGTCAAGTGCGACTGGTTTGTCTAATCCCTTAAGCTAGGAGTGCGACTAGTCGTACTTCTACTACTCGTTTACTCGAGCTGCTAGGAGTTCAATACTCCTACCAATCAAAGTAGATTTGCATTTACTACTTGGATCGTCTGATGCTGCCGGCGATTCTGATGCGCCTATGGCTTCAGTCAATTGATCATCGTCTCTATAGGCTTCTTCTCCTGTTCTCCATATGCTTCCTTTTGCTCATGGCTCATCTCTCTTTCACCAGGCTACTATTAGTCTATTACTAATTTATTTTTTGTCCCAAAAAATATATTTTTCATTCATTTTACACGTACCAATGTAAAAACAAATGTTATAATGCCTTTTACTCTATCAAATCACAGTATCATTGTCATCCACTTTATCTTATTCGTAATTTTTATAAACTCCGGTGCAATAATCCCTTGTTCTAGCTTGAGTTGCCGTTCATCAGAGATGTAAGAAGGAAAAAACAGCATTACATTGGATCTTGGCTAGAACTTCACATTGCGTTCAGTACCCGATTGATCAGCTGATCAAGTGGTCTAAACATCTCATAACCTCCTACTTGAACAACATTGGAGCAATTAAATGTGGATAAAAAAACCAAATACACAGTTTACGTGTAAATTGCGAGACGAATCTTTTAAGCCTAATTGCGCCATGATTTGACAATTTGATGCTACAGTAAATATTTTCTAATGACGGATTAATTACACTTAATAAATTCGTCTCACAGTTTTCTAGCGGAATCTATAATTTGTTTTGTTATTAGACTACATTTAATACTTAAAATGTATGTCCATATATCTAATGTGATATGCTAAAACTTTACACCCATAGATCTAAATACCGCCTCAGTCATGGCAACGAGTAGATGTAGCCAGGGTTTGCAAAACCGCCGGTAACCACGCGGTTATCATGTTTACCGCGGGGTACGGTAAAAGAAAAACCACGATAACCTCCTTAAATTCAAATACATTTAAAAAATATTGAAAGTTTGATAAATTTTACACGATTTCGTACGGTTTGCCACGATTACCGCGTGGTAATCGTGCTTATCGCCGGGGTGCGGTAAGACGGTTTGGGAAACCATGGCTGTAGCTAGGTGACTTTGAGTACGCAGCCGCAGACAAATCTACTCGTGGGCGAGACCTTGTCAGGCGGCGGAGAAGGTGAAGTTGATTGGACGAGAGAGTTTAATGACGACGGCCGAAGAAGATGGAGATGGCGGAGGACTGGAGACCTGGAGTGAAGGAGATTTTGCATTAGGCTAGTAGGCCCAACAACAAAGAAGCTGTGTTGAGGCCCAATACAATTCCATTTGCTCCGAATTCTGAAAGACACGGGCCTGTTTCGTTTCTGTTCTAGTAGCTTGAGCTGTCGTTCGTCCTGCCATGGCAAGCTCCTCGACACAAGCCGCTGCCACATGTGCAGCCGGGACGGCGGCTACCGGCGCTGCGTCGCCGTCGACCACATCCTGTACGCCATCACGGTGCCCTGCCCCAACGCCGCCCACGGCTGCGCCGCCAGGACGCCCTACCACGACAGCCACGGCCACGCCGCCGGGTGCCCCCACGCGCCGTGCTTCTGCCCCGAGCCCGGCTGCGGCTTCGCCGCCGGCGCCACCGCCGCGCTGCTCGCCCACTTCACCGGCACGCACGGCTGGCCGGCCACCGTGATGTGGCGCCGCAGGGCGGCGGTCGGCGTCCCGCTCCAGGAAGGCAAGCGGGTCCTCAGCCTCCTGGACGACGACGGCCGCGGCAGCCACCTGTTCCTGCTCAACGTCGCGCAGGCCGGCGAGGCCGGCCTCGTCGGCACCGTTCTCGCCGTGGAGGCGGCGGCCCACGGGCACGGCGACGCGCCGAGGTTCGAGTGCAAAGTGTCGTTCGACCGCCGTGGCACGGGGTGGCGGCAGTCGTCGACGTTCGGCGTGAGGAGCACGAACCTCTCCGGTGGGTTGCCGGCGGACGGCTTCGCGTTCGTGGCGCCCAATCCGCCTCCCGCCGCCGCCAGCGTCACCATCACCCTCTTCGACATCTCCTCCGGAGAACCTGGCAGTGCTCTCCGTCCAGTCTTACCTCGCTCACGCCGCTCCCGCACTCGCTTGAGCGCGACGACGACGGCGGCGGCGGCGGTGATTCTCCGGTGACGACATGGGCGGGCTCCAATGGCGGCAGAAGCTCTCAGGCAATGGCATCCACCGAGGATGCAAGCAAAAAACAAGAGATTTTGTGGATATCTCTTTTCC